TGAAATCGTCGACTTAGAATGCTTTCTTAGTTGTTATGTCACTTGATTATCCATATACAGGTTGTAAATACAAACCGCAGTCTGTGAACTATTGTTTAGACAGTTGAATTTTTGGGGTTGCGCTTGAATATATATGAATCTGTACTTGATCTATAATTATAAACAGAAATCTATGACATTCTGGAATAGTCTCCACTCTAAACAATACTGAAAATATTAAGATTTTCTTGTAGGTGAATATTACTCATTGAATTCCAACATACCGTTATAAAAGTATCCCATACCCAGTGAAACATAAAAGATCCTCAGATTCATATATCTACATCAAACCCTTTTTAGTTATCAGGTGGATACATTCAAGGTCACTTTGGTGTCACTCAAAGGTCGTCCATACATGATAATCTCACCATGAATTCTTCAAATTCAATTGATGAATTGACCTTGATCGTGATTGGTCATTATCATGAATTCAATACATGTGACCTTGAAGTGATGTATTTAATCAATAATCGGATATTAGAATGAGTTATCACGTGTTCTCTACATATGGATTCACAAATGAAATGAGTAAGATATAATTCTTATAAAGAGAAAAACCAATTTCATAAAAGATCTTGGATGTTTCTTTGGAAATTAACTGAACTTGATCATATTATCCATTTAACCATGTACTAACTGATTTGAAAGGGTAAGTATTATGTTCAGTTGATATAAATCTTTTATATATCAAAGTTGAGATCTTCACTACAAACGTTAAGATAGTCCTCCTGGACGGAGCTGAAACGTGAAGAACTACAACAACCATCATAAAGAAGGTTCAAGTAGTTATAAATAGTTGTCTACGCAAGATACATAACATCCTTTGACCGGATACCATCAGCAACAACCTACTGTGGCAGAGAACAAATCAGCTTCCAGCTTAAGAAGAGACTAAGAAAAGGCTATGAGACTGGATAGGACACTTATATAAGCAGATATGAAAGAGATGAATAACAACTGGAAAGGATTTCTCAGGGCATGGTTGGATGGAGAGTGCTGGTGTTGGGCCTATGCTTCTCCATAAGGAGTAACAGGCGTATTTACATAACTATTAGGTGACATGATTCTCCGATTAAAATTTATTTCTTCTGTATTAATAGAACAATGAAAATTTGTATGGAATACATAAAATTACAGAACATCTTAGTAAAATCTGAGAACCATATAATAAAGACTTCATTTGTAAAATATCAATCAATCGTCTCAGACTTCACTATTCCTATATTTCCATGCTAATTGCTTTCTGTTCCCGTTCTTTCCTTCTTGATCTTCTCAATCTTCTACTGCCAGACATTATATTCCTAACTCGCGTTATATACTACTTATGTCGATATAAGCAGCAGATACTACACTTGTATCAGCTGAACTGATATAAAACTTTATTGATTGAATACGACTGCCAGATACTGAACGTAAAAAAACGCAAATATGTACTGTATACTTATTGTAACGGAAGTTTCAGCATTGAATAAAGCTATTGTTATTATCATTATTATATAACGTTGCGTCATTTATAAAGATATGGCGGTGCAATCCCATTTAATATTGATCTTTGTCATGCATCAAGTGTGGTGCATAGGTTTTGATCAAAATTAAATCAGTGAATATTTCAAAACAATCTATTTCTAGCTTCATTTTTCAGTTTACATCAATTAAATTGTGTGTACTCATGGTCAGTTGATGAGCCAATTTGAAGATATCAGAAAGGGGATTTGTGGAGATTTTAGAAATTTCAGTAGTTGAAATCATTAATCAATTGAAGCTAGACAACCATGGAAAACCTGGAAGCACTGGATGGCCGCATCGTCCTAGTATGGGACTCCTCAGTAGTGCGCATCCACGACCCCGCATCCCGCAAGACTCGAACACAGGACCTATCAGTCTGGCACCAGGCGCTTAACCAACTAGACCACTGAGCAGGCCGGCATCCAACGGTGTTAATGTCTAACTTCAACCAATCCGCGAATTTGCGCCACCGTATACCATTTTCTTCTGTGAATTGATGTCTCACAACAGACCTGGTTGAACTCCACTGGTAACGGCTTCTCGCTAGAACTCCAGGAGTATCTCTTGAAGTCAGTTACTAGTGAGCATATGTTGATTATTATCAGGAGGGGTTTTGTGGAGATTTTTAGAAATTTCACTGATTGAAATCATGAGTCACTTGAAGCTAGACCACCATGGAAAACCTGGAAGCACAATGTTGAGGAGTCCCATACTAGGGCGGAGCTGCCGTCCAGTGCTTTTAGGTTTCCCATGGTGGTCTAGCTTCAATTGACTCATGATTTCAATCATTGAAATGTGAAGATAGTTAGTTGTTCATACTGATTATTACGTTAGCTTCGGTGTTGTTAAGTCTTTCGTTATCTGAACCAGATACATTTTTATTGCTAAGTATTATTCAAACACTTTACCTTACTCAACTAATCCCCAATACCAGAACACGGCTTGGATATGTATGTAATTCTGTCCTAAATAAACTAAGTTGAATGAGAGTCAATCACAATTAGAAGAACGTTAGTATGTTAATAACTGAATATGAGAATATTCTAGAGTATTCTCTAATTACCCACTAGCTCTGATTGACTAATAATAGTCTACTTCTTAGTAATCCGAATACTTTATCATTACTGAGAATATTTGAATAGAAATGGATGTAAATTATTCACTAATGATTCAAAGTTTTCCGGAAACAATTATTCTCTACAAAACTGTACATGGTGAAGTATTCATTATGGTAAAAGAAAGTACAAAAAGTTAGTAATAAAGATTTAAACCAGAGTGGCAGGTCACTATTTTAAGAATAGCTTAAGTCATAGTACGCATCCAATACACACGTACAAATGGAGATAAAGACAGCCCGTGTAGCAACAGCTTCTGCATCAGTAGGCCTCAACATACACAAGGGGGAAACCAAGGTCCTCAAATTCAAAGCGGAGAACAGCAATCCAATCACGCATGATGGCGAATCTCTGGAAGGTGTACAATCCTTCACGTACCTGAGAAGCATCATCGATGAAAAAGGAAGTTCAGATGCAGACGTAAAGGCGAAGATTGGCAAATCAAGGGCCACATTCCTACAGTTGAAGAACATATGGAACTCAAAACAACTTCCAACCAATATCAAAGTGAGAATCTTCAATACGAACGTCAAGGCGGTTCTACTGCACAGAGCTGAAACTTGGAGAACTACAACAACCACCATCAAGTAAGTACAAGTATTTATGAATAGCTGTCTTCGCAAGATACTCAACATCCATTGGCCGGATACCATCAGCAACAGGCTTCTCTGGGAGAGAACAAATCAGCTTCCAGTTGAAGAAGAAATTTGGAAAAGACGATGGAAATGGATAGGACATACAGTACGGAAATCACCAAACTGCATCACGAGGCAAGCCCTGACTTGGAAACCTTAAGGGAAGCAGAAAAAGGTAAGTCCATAGAACACAGATATGAAAATGATGAATAACAACTGGAAGGAGCTAGAAAGGATTGCCCAGGATAGGGTTGAATGGATAATGCTGATGAGCGGCCTATGCCGAGGAGTAACAGGCGTAAGTAAGTCATAGTAATTAAGCAACGATAAGTTTTATCTAGTTCACACATACCTGTTAATATTTCACATCCTGTTCGTCATTACGTTTCACTCTAGAATGCAAAAGGTTCATTGATACAGTTTTACTTGTGATGAAATACTAGAGATTACGTTTTTGCTAAAATGATATAACTATGGTGTTGATAAAATCCGAAAAGACATCATGAACTTCCAATTGTTTATGAATATTGTTGATTTTCATGATTTACAAAACGAACTGAGCTGATTAAGACTACTGAGCTAAAACAAAAAACAACAACAATATAAATGTTAGATGCTCTAAAGGTTAAGTGCCCACCTCAAGTCTTGAAGGTTCTTAGTTTAAACACAGGTGCTCAATGCACATGAGTCACATACAAGCTGTCTAGAACATCTTTATTTTCAATAGTTGTCTATCTAGGATTAAAATCAGAGATGAGTTTTATGGACATTATGGTAAGTGAATAGTTGAATTCATCAGTCAGTTGAAATTAGACCACCATGGAAAGCCTAGAGGCACTGGATTACCGTTTCCTCTTACTATGAGACCCTATGATTTGAAATATACTTACTTCTTGATAATGAAAGTTAAAATGTGAACACCATCAGATTTTTTCAAATAATATTAAATTCACTTGGTGTTGCTTTACTTGTATCTTTCCATTGTTATTTCGGATTACAGTTGATCAGTCTCTTTTTTTTTTTAAACAAAGATGGATAATGACTAGCAGAGGAATCCAGTTTGACACGTGTTTCATCCTATTTGTGACTCATAAGCTGGATGTACCTTCATCTTAGAGTTGATATTCACTCCAGATAACATGATAGCGTCTAAAGCGAACAGTACCAGGTTCGAGTCCCAGAGTGAACATCAACTCTAATATGTAAATACATCCAGTTGACGAGTCCGAAATAGAAAGAAACGCACTTCAAACTAGATTCCACTAATAGTCACTATCCTCATCATTATTATTCATCAATATTAACTGTTATTTTCATTTAAAGTACACAAGTTAAATCTTGATCAAATAACATTGTAGTTTGTTTGAATAAAAGAAGAAGAAGAACAAAAAGAAACGATAGGAAGAAGAACACTGTAGTCATCAAGTATTACTTCATTTATACTTTTATTTTCATTTAAGTTCAATTGTAATTTACTTCAAATCATGTGATTAGAACAAACACAAATTTGAGAACCAACATACACAACATAATGATTACATAAGTGTACTCAACTAAATGAAATGATTAGTTAAATCAATGTGTAGATAGATACCATTTGTCTACATATAATATGTCTGTTCATTGAAATATCCAATACAATAATGATTATTTATTATTGAATCAGATCTTGATTAGATCTATTGAATTATAAAGAACAGATCTCATTGTGAATATGTTCGCTTTAATCTTCAATATTATTCATTATCATTATTATTGATAAGACAATTACACAAGACATTATATTCTTATGTAATCAAATAATACTTTATAAATTGAATCATCTTGATTAGATCTTTTGAATTTGTCAAGAAGCTATTTCATTGAATGTATGTTCGCTTCAATATCTCCAATATCATTCATAAGACGTTCATTATAACAAACTAGAATGTGAAATCATGTATTATTCATTGGATTATATATGCATATATAATTATATCTATTGAATTGTTTAATTAGTCAATTATGAAAAAAGATAGAAAGAACCAGGTAAGTATTGAATATGATTGATTGAGAAGTTTAGGCTGATATAGTTTTCTGAACCTTTTAATGACCATGAATCTGATTTCTCAGTTAAAGGGTTGTGAAGATTATTATGTTATTGATTGAGATCAAGAATTGATTGATGTAAGATCATCACTGAAAACCTAGAAGCACTGAACGGCCTTAACGGAATTCTCGGAGTTCTAGTTGGAAGTCATGATCACTGAAGCTAATCCGTCTCGAGTAGAGACAGGTATTTACTTCAGTAAAATGGTAGATGGTTGCGCAATTTTGTGGATTAGTTAAAGTTAAACATTAACACCGTTGGGTGGCAGCTCAGTGGTCTAGTAGGTTGAGCGTTAGCGCGCGAAACTGAAGGTCTTGGGTTCCAATTCTTAGCGAGGGATCATGGATGCGCACTGCTGAAGAGTCCAACAAAAGGACGAAACGTCTTTCTAGGTTCTCAATGATGGTCTAACATCAATTTTTTAAAACTGAAGTTCACTGTGATATTTGAACTTAATTTACACATGCTTCGATAGAACAATGAGAAGACGGAGTTGATCTGAAGATTGGTGATGTATTCGCGCTACATACATTTCGAACAATCTAGTCATAAATATATACTTGTCAGGGCATTTTTATATGAAAATCAATAAAGGTCAATTACATGAAAGTTCAAGTAAAATAAGGTAACAAAGAGGAGAGAAACAATTTTACATCGTATAGAAAGAATAAGAGAAGAGAAATGAAGATTCAAGTAAACAATATCAAATGAATTTAAACTTTACCCCAATGCACCAGTAAGTGACTAACAAAACTTCGTAGCTAAGTGAATAACGAGATGACGTATGAAGCGAACACTACTGAATTCGATCAGCAAAGTGAACATCAACTCTCGGATGCAGGAATATGCAGCTGACAAGTCCCAAATAAGACGAAGCGCACTTCAAACTGGATTCTTATGATAGCCACTATCCACCTTTGCATATAATGATTGTGACTTAAGGCTACATCAAGGCAATCCGCACAGGATGCACATATACCAATAAGAGACTGTTCAAACGTAGTCCTAAATAACAATGGGAAGATTCAAACAAACAAATCCCAAGTGAATATAGAATAAGAAATTGTCGCGTTATCCTAGGCCATAGAATGACTTAAAGATTACTAGGGTAAACTCAAGATTACCAAAAATTGTTTTTGTACACATATGAGGGGTGAGGCTTGAATTTTCGAATAGCCAAAGCTTTAATAAACTTGAGAATTCATTCTTGACAATTTCTATCCAACATTTTAAAACCTGTACTAATGTATTAATTTTGTGCCCGGTTTCAACTATGTGTTTCACTATCAATGAACATGGTTGTCTATCTCCCATGTTGATCGGATCATTGGAAAATAATTGGTTTTGAAGCCATCTAGGCATATGTTCAATGACCCTTGTTTGTACTGTTCGATTACTCCTCCCTATGTATATATGTCCACACAAACATGTAAATTGGTGAATACAAGTTTGCTAAAATGTTATTCACTGAAGGTTGAGTCCCATAAAGAGTATCAGTTTTTTACGATTATAGTTGTGACCTGTTGACTAATACTAACTAATGTCAACTACTTACAACCATTTACCATTCCCAAACTTTTGTCCGTTGACGACTGAACTTATTGATTTTGATTCGACAACTACTTGAAACCAGAAAACACATGTATTATCAGTTTAGGGGTTGTGGAGATTAAGTTTTTGGTTGAAAACCTGGAAGCACTGGACGACCGTTTCGTCCCATTGAGAGACCCCTCAACAGTGCGCATCCATGATCACGCTCCCGAGACTCGAACCCAGGGCCTTCAGTCTCGCGCGCGAACTCTTAACATACTGGACAACTGAGCCTGCCCCCAGTAGTAATTGTTCCATGTTTTTATGTTTTCTCCACTTGTCAAATCATGATGCAAAATGAAAATGTTTGCTGGAAAGCTGAATTAAGACTTGTTAAACTAGAGTATAGGGACGAGTCAATATTGACATTGAAATGGCATTGAAACAAATTTTCAGCTATTCAACAGACAGTTAATCAAAATCAAAAGTGTTTCACAACAACATTGATAAACCTCTATTGAAATTTAATGGTTTTACGAAGTTTAGAAGTTGTCCAGGGGTTATCGTCGTTTTTTGGCGAATTAGTTTTCTACAAGATGGGGTCGATAACCCCACACCCAATCTTCAGCCTTTATCCAGACTTGGGACCTGTAGTAGCCCTCAAGGGGCTCCAGGCGGAAATGTCGCTACACAACTTCATTCATCTTAGTGTTAGTATATTCAAGCTAAAAGTTAATTTTGTGTCCTGTCACCCATTAACAATTTTCTAGAATATATATCACTGTCTATAACATCCATGGAAGGGTTGGTGAAATAAAGTTTTCAGATGATGATTTGATAACTTGATGTTTGGAAAATGTTATCAACAGTAAAATGCATAACTTCATCAGCTCTCCTATTCATCAACAAACCACTGATGAAGCGATTTCTTCAAGAGTTTACTATAAACAACATTAACTGAAATAAACACCGATCAATTTATGTGTTGAGCATAATCTCAACAGGCAGTAGTAAACATTTGACGTGCTCTAGTGAAAAAATCTTGAATCCAAAAACTCAATGGTTTACAATGATTGTGTATCTGAAATGAATTCAGGATGTAAATCGTATACTAATTGTTTATTCTCCACAAATAGCTTATTCTGATAGCATGATTTCTTGATGAGTCTCTGCAGACCAGAAAGCATTAGTACGTCATTTACATTTTTCTCATTTCTGACAGTCTTTTCTACGACACGTTGATGATTTTCACATGGATTGAGCCCAGAAACCACATCAATATTACAGTAAGCAAATGAATGCTTAAATGCTATGAAATACCTTGTACGATGACTAAGCAATGTATGTAAAAAACGAGAAAAACCACAGAATGTATCAAGGATAGAAGGCAAGTCAAATACAAATGTAGGCGAACTCTTATGAAAAGATTATTCACTTAGCTATAGTCATCCAGTAGGTCCTTTGTCTTAGTCATGCAGGCCACATAGCTGCAATTAATTTGAAGGGATTTTTATCAAAAAGCATCTTTGTATTTTCTATCTGCCTACAATTTGTGTATGAACCTTGTCTTTGTTACCGACTACAATAGGATCGTATCTCTTAACGTTGCTCTACTACTTTGTGGATTGGACCTGTAAGTCAAAGACTCGGAGAGTGGTTCACTAAGAAAACCACTTGCTTCGGTTCGGACACCTTGACAATATCTCGGCCCATACACAAATTTAATGATTTACTGTATGGCGCATATAAACTTTTGCCTCTCTTTATACCAATGCTCATGTGTTTAAATAAATAAATCATTCACACACACTCGAATCTCCAAGACAGCCAAACATATTGGTTTAATATTCAGTTGATCGGCTTCAGATAATGCTATCTGTATAAGGTTACTGAAGAACCGGAAATTTCCTTTTATTCAGGATGCAGAAATGGTTATTTTTCAGATTACTTGGGCAATTCAAAACTTCTCAATTGCTGTATCGCTAATATATTCAACTTGTCAGTTCGTCCATATCAGACAGACGTGACGACGAATCTGAATTTTATATTGAAATTTGACTCGTTTCACTTGTAAAGTCAAACTTCAAGACAACTCCTGTCATCTAATTTAATTTCCTCTCAATGAAATATACTATTCAGAGGTCATTACTTCGTTAGACTTGATCCATACTAATCAAATGAGCTTATCAAGCAAATCAGAAAACTTCTTCATGTTTTAAGCTTTTCACTTCTGGCTGGCATTTTTTAGCAAGATTCATTTCTACGAGATGGAGTTGCCAATCCCATGCCCAATCCTTCTCCTTTTACTCGGGCTTGAGAGCGGCAGTAACTGTAGAAGAGCTTTAATAATTTAATAGTTAAATCACTTGACTATCAAACAGTCGATTGTTCATTCAAAATCAATTTCACATCATTCAATGTAAGGAACTAGGCTAAATCACTAATCGTTACACTGAAACGATTTACATATATATCTACACTTGTTCAATGAATGTTCGATGGATGCCGTCTCAGTGGTCTAGAAGTTAAGCGTTCGAGCGCGAAACTAAAGGCCGTGAATTCAAATCCTGAGAGCAGGATCGTGGATGCTCACTGCTGAGGAGTCGCACAATGGAACGAAACGACCGTCCACTCCTTCCAGGTTTCCAATGGTGGTCCAACATCAATCGCTTCACGATGTCAATCAATGAATTACTGTCAAATTATGTCTATTTTAATAGTGGATACCCAAATCTTGTTAACTCAGTTATCAAACCCCAATGTATAAAATGTAAATGTTATGCAACTTCAATAAATGTATTGGGAATCAATATCCTTAGAAACAGTATTTAATGGGAAACTATTTTATCATACTTATGATTTTTATATACAAACGTTCTTGATATTCAGCTTAGGAAAATAAAAATTAAACTGGTTATATGTAGAGGTAAAAGTGTTCTTTAATTTTGTAAATGCTTAATCTACCATTAAATGGTTAATTGTAGTCATTCTAAAACTATCTAAGTAGTTCTCAGTACTCTGGAGTATAATACAGGAATAGTTTTTTTCTAAAATGTTGTACAAAATGTATTTGGTTACATACAGATGTACCAGTCAGCCATTTCTTATAACATTGTCGAGCCAGATTCTGGAAAAAACTTTAGGTACATTTTGGTTATTACAGGTATGACTATAACATAGTTGTAGGAAATCCTATGAACTGATTAATGAGCGATTATTAAGCGATCACACATTATTCATTGATTCTTAGTTGTCCAATGAAAACAGGTCATATCAACTACATACTGAGTATGAAGTAATAGGCATTTGGATTAAAATACGATTTGATTTTATTTATTTCAACAAATAAATATTGATACAAGAAGGCACCAAATATATACGCGCCACACCATATTTGTGTGTGTGTGCTGTGATACTGCCCGGGTGCCCAGACCGAAGCACGCGGTTATCTTAGTGGGCCACACCCTGAGCCTTTGACCTAAAGGTTTGATCCACAAGGCATTGGAGCATCTTGAGGAGATGCATTCCCATGGTAGCCGGTGACCAACGACTGTTTCATATGCCATTTGTTCCCTCAGGATACTGGAGCCCATGTGCACCATTGGTTTGCAATCCGGTTATAGCGCCGGACATTCGCTTTTCGTTCTCTCATTTTCGTAAACAGCACCCCCTCCACGAGATGACAGTGAGTAGGACTTCCCTGGCAGGGGCTGTATACGCGTGTCTGTATGAGAGCATTTCAAGAGGGAGGGCGGACCCACCCCACTTTTGGCCATATTAGGATATTTGGGGGTCTTAAAATACGATTGGTACTTGTTTGATCATAGAGATAACAAGCAACTATGGTCTATAGTATATTCTATCTAATTACATGGAACAATATGTTACCAATTAGATTTTTATGTAATTTATCTTTTTTTATTTCAGGTAATCAAAGTACAAAGTACTGATTGCAGCATGGTGACTATCAATGTACCTCCTGAATGTGAGTATTTTAAATATCATAGACCGTCAATGTATTGTCTTGCTATAATTATTTCAAATAATTATTCTTGACAACTTTGATGCTCATTTTGTAAGCAAATTTGTTATGTTCTTATCCCCGGTTAATTATATCATGTTATAAGGTCGCCATTTAGACACCGATGTATACGATCAGGCTGATGACACAGAAACCTATACGACCATCCTAGAATACTTATTGATTCAACGAGATAATAGCTTTTCTTCTAACCCAACCGGTTCAGCCCAGACCGCCAATATCAGCCTATGTGATACGAATAATAAATTTCAGACATACTGGGTTTATATACAAACAAATTATACCACAACAAAGCATAATATAGAAACCAATAATTGTACTAGATCAACCAAAAAGTGGCTGTGATTGTGAGAGACTATTTCAAATAAACTGGAATAGTAGATCATATGATAATAGTTAATAATTAGAGAGGGATTTTATGGATATTATAGTAATTTTTTAATAGTTGAATTTATGAGTCAATCGAAGCTAGAACACCATGGAGAACCTGGAACCATTGGAAGACTGTCTCATCCGATTGTGTGACTCCTCAGTAATGCACGTTCAGGATTACGCTGTGACCAGTGGAGTTCAAATGGATCTGTTGTGATGATGACAACGGCGATCTAGTGGTTAAGTGATCGCGCATGAGACTGACAGGTCATGGGTTCCGACCTTGTGAGGCGAGATCATGGATGTGCATTGCTGAGGAGTCCCACAATAGAGTGAAACAGTCGTCCAGTGCTTTCATGTTTTCTATGGTTGTCTGGCTACAATCGACTCAGGAATTCAACTATTAGAAAAATAGTCAATAAGTCAAATAAAAGCATATAATGCAAGGAACATGAATATCCATGTAATATAGTAGTATCATATGCCCATTAGTGATTAACTTCGTGTTCTAGTAAGAAACTGATTGTTAATCGTATATTTAGATAAACCGACTAATGAAACATTCTTGTCTACATCATAAGCGATAGATTAAATGAAGTAAAATGTAATAAATAATTCAAGTTTACTTATTATAGTCATTAGTTGCTATAGCTAATTGTATTCCCTTTTTTATCCTATTTGGCTTAGTCTTGTACCATCGAAATCTACTTAAAGTTCAGTCGTTAGGATTTATATTCTCATTATTTGAAATCAATTCTTGTTATTACACTAATATCAATGATAAATTATAATTTATGGGCGACCTTTGAGTGACTTTGAGAATACCTACCTAATAACTAGGATCAAATGAGGGTTATGAACCAGTATGTGAGCAATCAGAATTATGATTTATAGTTGACGGTTAAGGTTAGGAATTACGTATCCTGGAATTTTTACTAAGACTACAATATACTGTTCAAGTTATTCAATAAAGTCACATCTTGTTCATTAGGATTACCTTTGCCGTAAATCGATATGAGTAATGTGGTCAAACTTTGTGGAATAAAACCGGTTGGTGACATTTCTCACAGGTGAAAACGAGTGTTCTGCATGTTGGCTAGTCTATAGTGAAGGTCTTTTTTTAAGTAGGTGAGTATCAAGCATCAACTGAGAAAGATCATCCTATTAGTATTCTTTCTGAATTTCACTTGATTCTACTTTGGCGTCTGGATCAGATATTTATGTTATTTGCGTTTTAGACAGCCTTCTAGTTAGTTGACAATCTATTATGATACTGGATACTGAAAAAACTCGGACGAAAACACAACCGTTTTCGGCAGCATGTAGTTACCACATGGGGATTCACGCATGGGTGAAAGAAAAATAGTTGCAACATCTGATTTAGAAAACTCTATCGGTAAACAGTGAATCACAGATACTGGCTATTGAAAAGCATCTTTGATCTGTGACCCTAAGTATGTATGTACGACAAACTTGTCATAATATATCCAGAATCTAATGATGAGAATATCCTACTATAACAAAATTTATGAATGAAAATATAAAATACTGGATAGCGGTTAAGTGGTCTAAAAGCTAAGCACTTCTCACACTGCCTGAAGATCCTAGGTCTGATCCATGGAAGGTTCGTCAATGTGTACTGATGAAGGGTTCTATACTGGAACGAAACGTTTGTTCAAAGCTTTCTGATATTTAATAATTTTCTCACTAATACATCATTTCGTAATATAAATTACATAATTCAACAATCTCAGCAAACCCTGCATTCTAAACATTCATTTGTATGGTTTATTATGGCTTTGAGCCAACATGTCATTCATTGTAATTATCTTCGAATCATGTGATGTAGTTTACAACTATAGATTTTAAGTATAACTATTTACATACAATCAATTATAGCATCAAGTAATGCTCAGAGATTGACGTAACTAGTTAGTAGTTAGAATAGTAAAGATAAGTTCATTTAAGCTATCAATAAAGTATCTTGCCAACTCCAGTACTCTGAATGGATACATAAATGGCGTTTGCTACATAAACATCTTTGAATTAGAGAACTTGGAAGTTGGTCAAATGGTTACCATGGCTGTGCTTTTGTTTTATTAATAAAATATAATTTATGTATATTTATAGGTATATAGCTAGAATATTTTCGTGATTATGGGAGTATCTCAAAGAGATTGTTGAATTTGAAGTTTTACATTATAAACTAAATTCGGTAAGAAGACCATTGGAAATCAATAAACACTAGGTACACATTCTCCCCTGGTATGTTACTTCTTATTAGTGCTGATCACGATGCTAACAAACGATGTATGCCTAGGAGGAAGATGCCGTACAACTAAGCTTCATCAAACATTATAACTAAAATACTTTATACATTTAGTTCCCTTTATCAACTTGAATCGAGCAAGAATAATACTTTTAAAAGTTCATTTACTTATGAATTTATTTATGATGAAATTTAAACATTAATACCTTTGGATTCCCGTTACGTGGTGTGGAGGTCACGCATTTTTGCCCGAAGTCGAAGGTTTTGGTTTCTATTACCGATGGCGAGATTGTGAGTGCGCATTCCTGAAAAGTTTAGTACTATGGTAAAAAAAACCGTCTAGTACTCCCGTGTTTTGAATGGTGGTCTAACTAAGACCAATTCGTGGTCGTTACACCTTAGTATACGACCCATCAGCAGTGCATATCCACGACCCTGAAATCAGTGTTTGAAACGAGGACTTTGTCTTCCGCGCGAACGCTTAACATCTAGACCACTGAGTCGGCGTCAAACGATGTCGATTTCTAGCTTGAATCAGTCTAATATATTGTCCTTGCTGAGTGACTGCCTCTCATCTGACGTGGTTGAACTCCACTGATCACAGCTTCTTACTAGAACTTAAAGAATTCCCTCACGAAGCTAATCACTAGTCGCACATGATAATTATCAGTACAGAAGTAAAAAGTTCACTTAATCTCATTAAGATTATGAACCGACCTAAGTTAGACCATCATTGAAAACCTGTAATCACTAGACGACCGTTTCGTCCGAAAATAAGACTCCTCAGCAGTGAGCAACAACGAAATCGAAGTTGATTATTACATAATAATCAATCAATGTTTATATCTCATCCATATAATATAACATCTGTGACTGTTGATTTTAGTAAATTGAGTTTAAATTGATTAATGAACATCACTTTTCTCAAGATTATGGATACACTTGGTTAACGCATACTATCTAGCCGTAAACCTCTTTGATCAACAAATGCTTCATGTAGGTTGCCTTTTACAAGCTAACATACGAAGGCAACCTATATCTATACACGTTGTTATCATAGTCAAAACTTTTGATGAGAAAACTAATTAAGAAACAATTTATCTAATATAATGGAAAATATACAGACGTTCGTGTTTATCGGGGCCTATGTGATCAACTGAGCAGTTGTATTGATCTGGTTTAGATATTGAATAATTAACCTAGATTGCTTTTACAATAAAGTCGCCTTACAATCAGGATAGAGCAATAACACAATAGTTGAATAAACTTTTATTACTCAGTTCTGTCCATTACTTGTGTGGACATATGGATTAACAATTTATCCAACCACCTCGAACCTATAGAAGTATACTCCTAGTCCCAAATCCGGATAAAAGAGGAGGGTTGGACATGCGAATAATTAACTTGTCCCGTAGAAAAGAAACTTTCCGAAAATCGGCAACTAGGAAAATCATTCATACCATCTGAACTTCTCCCTGGGAATTGAAGTGTTATGAAACCTCACAAGGCCAGTTCCCCTTCCTACAACCAATCCAACAATTAATATAAGTAAATGTAATGAATGAATGAATATCATTCAGTGCTATGTGCCTACAAAATAATAACAGTAGACACGATAATGATCAGTAATTATTCATTATGTAATGAACCAGAGTGAATGTGGGGACACCGAATGTATTTTAATACAAGAATACAGAATCCTTTGGTAAAATGTGAGGACCGTACATCCAATACTTCATTTGCAAATCAACTGTCGTAAACGTCATCATTCCTTCATTGCCATAACAACTACTTTCTGTTCCCATTCTCATCGATTCGATCTTCACAACCCTCCTCTACTAGGCATTCCACTTCTAACTAGTGTTATATACTACTTATCTCAACAGACATAAGTAGCATATACAACAATCATGCAACTAATTATAAAAAATAACTTTAGGTAGAACAGTTCTGAAAGTTCGAAACCCCTTATAACACTATCGTTTTACTTTCCTTTTCTTTTTTTTAAAAAAATATCAATATTTAGTAAGAAAAATCGAACAAATTTTATTTGCTTCAGTAAAACAAAATCGTTTTGATTTAGTTAGTCGAATTATAGACGGTCATAAATGTGATATTAATGTAAGAGATAGTTTCGATCGAACCCCATTACATTTGGCTGCATCATCTGGAAATTTACCAATGGTGAAATTATTAATAGAAGGTAGAGCATTAGTTGATCCAGTGGATAAAGTAAGTCATTATCATTTCTTTTTATTGTTATTGTTGTATTTACTATACTATCTGATGATAAAAACCGGTGTTGGAGATGGTTGGAAGAAAGTTAGGGGCGGCTAAACCAAAATGTGGCATCAGTCCACAACGTCACTAACTTCTGACCTAAGCCATGTTGGGAGATGCAGACTACTTGGTTGGGGTTCACCTGACAATCATAGCCAGTGACTGGAGACTCTGGGTGAAATGTTTCAGAATCGATCACACTCTCTGTCTTCACTTAAACTAAGAGATTAAAATCGCTTAATATCTTTCTTTCTACGAACCAATTCTTTCTTCTTGTACTATATCCTTATATTCAATCTTTCTTTTATATATTACCATCATCGAAACAACTACTTCTATGAATTTGGTGTTCATTTTATTGTACTAATTAGTTATTTCAAGTTGGACCGATGCACATGTGTGCCTGGTCCTACGTTGTAGCTGACTGACTGACGGAATTCTGCCCGGGTGCTCAAACCGAAATCATCTGATCAATCATAGTCCTTAACATCAATAATGGAAAGATTCAAACACGTCTTACAAATCAAATAAAACTGATATTGGTTAAACAAATGACTGACTGTTTAAAATCAATAGCACAGTAGGTAACATGTTGGCCGTTTCAAGTGAATCCTGAAATAAAGATCAGTACCAGAATACAAGTATATCAAGCTGACTAGTCTTCAATAAAACCAAACATACATCCTACATTTAACTGCTAGTCAATATTAAACTATTTAAAAATCCTTATGTTTATTGTATGGACATTTTACAACTGGAACCAAACAACGGACTAGTATAGTCTCTTACTTTCTCATTTGATTTTCATCATGTGTTAAGTCTAATGACGTGAAGATATTTACTTCATAATGGATACTATGGACTAAATAGTTAAATCAACTATATTGAATATAGTTACCTAATACTTACTATCATTGTTTTGTTTTGTTTTGTTTTGCTTCAATTTTTCAGTTTGGTATTACACCATTATTTTGGGCTGTTTATAACAATTATAAAAATGTAGCTCATTATCTACTCAATATGGGGGCTAAACATAATCGAGTTACTAAGGTGAGTAGAATTTGCATCATTTTTTTTTGTTTGTCATGATATTCTAGGGGGGATAAACCACCAGAGACTGTTATTAATTGATTATTCACTGAGTATTGACTTATGTTATTTTTTTTTATAATTTAATGTTTATTCAGATCTTTCAGTAAGGTTGAAGGCATTCGGAAAAAAACTATGGATTTAGGTATTCGTCTTGGTTGGTACTCAACACTGAAATCCAGATACATTTAAGTGAGGAGTCTCAGGTGAGACGAAACAGTAGTTTTGGATTTCATTTCTGGTCACCACCTAACAACACAATGTGTCTCGGTTTAAAATTTCTCATCATACTGAAAAATACAAACATATCGATGAAGAATATTCTTTTTCATGTTCTACACAGATTTACTGCAAAATTGGCCATGCTTAAGGCAAATACAACGTTTACAACTACAACATATAGTGTTAATATCAGTACGAGGGTTTTTTGGAGATCATAGATTTTTCATAGATCTTACATCACGAAATGATCTAAGTTAGATCACCATTAAAAACCTAGAAGCACTTGACGGATGTTTCGTTCTCGTATAAAACTTCTCATCTGTACGCAGTACTGCTGAGTTCGATTTCCGAATGCACAATTCTAGATGCTCATTTCTGAGTGTTCCTAAACAAAGACAAAACGACCGTTTAGTGTTTCCAGGTTCTAAATGGTGATTTACCTGATATCCATTTATGATTCGAGGACTGAAAATTTTTAATGTTGCAATAACTATTATGCAACGTCAATAACTTAAATATAGTTTATACATCAAATGAAATTGTCCAGTTCATAGTCAGAACAAAAATGAGTGTCAAAAGATCAAACAATGTAATTACAGATCAAATCAAACGTTTGAATGAAAGACTATTCTGTATATAAAGTGATACAAGTCCATTAAGATATAATAAAATGGATTGCATAGCAACTAAATTTCTCATGTGTTTGGCTTATTAAGAAACCAAAACAATGACTGTTATATTTGGATAAGATTGATTTTAAGCTACAAAATGGAAACAAATAAGTTCAAATATAAATTCTACAAGTTGAAATCATGAGTCAATTGAAGCTAGACCACCATGGAAAACCTGAAATCACAGCACGGCCGTCTCATCCTGGTATGGGAGTTTGGATGGTTATTACTCCTAGGGTTTAAAGAACTTTGAGCTAAACCGTGTTGGGTAGAAACAGGTATCTAACTCATTACAATGGATAATGGTCACGGAATTTCGTGAATTGGTTGATGTTAGACATTAACACCGTTTGATGCCAGATCAGTAGTCTAGAGGTTAAACGTTCACGATCGAGACTGAAGGTCCTGGGTTTGAGTCCCGAGAGCGGAGTCGTGGATGCGCACTGCTGAGAAGTCCCACAATACAACGAAACGGCCATCCATTGCTTCCAGGTTTTCAATGGTGGTCTAACATTAATCGGCTGATGATATCAATCAAAAAAACTTAATAATCTCCGCAACCCTATACTGACTTTGAGTTTGACTGACTTTTGGCGAAAATTACTAACGCCGTAAATTACTGTTGACAATCAACTTATGCTGATATCATCTATTCTGATTATTTAGTTCATTATTGTCATTTCACGTACAAAATTATTCAAATGTTCATCATTAAATAATAGTAATTTCAATGTTAACAACTTCATTGTATTCTACAAACAATCCCGAATGCCCATATTCCATGGTTTTAAACGATGTATTTGCCTTAAATTTGACCATATTTTGGCCAATTAATCTGAAAGTTTATCTGTGTAGAACGTGACATTCTTCTCCCAGTTGATTTGACGAGACTATATAATTTTCATAGTTTAACTCACGAATTGATCATAGCTAGACCAATAGGAAAAACCAAAAGGCACTGGATAGGTGTTTCAGTTTAGTATAAAACTAATCATTAGTACCCAATCACGATCTCTTATCTGGGAAACGAACCCAGGACTTTTATTCTCACAAGTGAATTTACAACCTCTAAATCATCGATCTAGCGTCGAACAGTGTTTATGTTTAACTTCAATCAATTCACAATATTCTACAACCATATTCAATTGTCTTCGGTAGGTAAATCCCTCACATACGGCACAGTTGAACTCCACTGGTCTCATACTAGAAAGGAACGGCTATCCAGTGATTTCAAGTTCTTTATGGTCGATAACGATTTTTTGTCAGTAAAATTAAATTCTTTTCGTGGTTTTTTTTCTTTATTTTTAATAAAAAGTTCATCTATGCACAATGTCAAAGTTGATCATCATTATTTATGTTGTATTGTGCAAAATTTATCGATCATTATCTGTTTGTAATCTTTCTTTTGTACTTTTATTGCATGTGTGTATGTGAAGGTGACAGAAAGACAGAGAGAGAGTAATAGATGAACAGAATGTGTCAGTAGTCTTGTTTTATCAATGAAATCAAATGAAAAGTGAAAAGTAGTGAACAGTGAAGTTCAATCAGGTCTATTGTGAGATAGTAACTCACTGAAGACAATGATGAGTGTGTTGCTTAATTTCGTGGATTAGTTGAAGTTAGACACTAACACCGTTGGATGCCGGCCAGTTCAGTGGTCTAGTGGTCAGGCGCTCGCGTGAGAGATTGATAGGTCCTGGGTTCGAATCTCTCAGGAGGTGAGGTCGTCGTTAGCTCACTGCTTAGGAGTCCATCCAGTCCATCCAGGCCATCCAGTGCTTCCAGGTTTTCCATGGTAATCTGGCTCCAAATGACTCATGATCTCAACTACTGAAATTACCATAATATCCATAAAAGCCCCTTCTGAAAATAGGTAAAACAGTTATTACACAAATGGTATAACTAAATAGAACTGAGTTATAAAATGCAATAAAGAGATGATATAATCGACAAACATCAAAATAATATAACTATTTTACCATGGTGACAAGAGTTCTACCACATTTTTATTTTATATGCAGACGTTAGGTCAAAAGCGCCTCTTCAAAGCAGCGTATAAGTGTCATTTGTTCTTTATTGATTACTTTAAACAGTTTTGTGATATCCAGGTCATGTTCACTATTCGTTAAGTGTTTAGTGATTGTACTTGTGACTACTTTACTTCATTTCAAACGAAGAGTTTTAGGAATATGTTCGGAAAATCTTGTAGATGCCCTTCTTTCAGTCCTTCCTATGTACTTGATTCATAAGTACATGTAAATTTATGAATATATTTGAAGACGACGTTAGAACTGTATTAATTGACTTTTGTCTGGTTTAAACAACATCTACTGTTATGCACTGAAAATAGTTGGGCTTCGGCAAGGCTTCTTAGAAGCTCTGCTTCTTTCCTTTAAGTGATTCTATTTGAAATTTCATCTCCATTTGAATACATTATTTATTTATTTATTTGAACACAAATTGGCACAAAGTGGCACCGAATAAATACGCGTCGCACAAGTCACTTGATTTGTGTGTGGGCTATGACACTGCCCCGGTGCCCAAACCGAAACAGTTGGTTTTCTTAGTGAGACCCAACCGAAGTCTTCCACGTAAAGGAATGATCCATAAGGCGGTGGAGCAACGTCAGCAAATGCAGTCTCGTGGTAACCGGTGACCAACGATTGGTTCATACACCATTTGTTCCTTCAGGATCCTGGAGCCCATGTGCAGCACCTAGTGCTGCTAGTTTTCCAACTCCACTAAGAGGGTTCTCTTTATCCACCAATCCGTTTGAAGCGCTGGATATTCGCTTTTCGTCCTCTCAATTTCGTAGACAACAGCTCCGCCTTGAGAAGACAGTGAGTAGGTCTTCTCTATATGCATGACCATGTGAGAGTATTTCGACAGAACGAGGTGACTCTCTTCTTCCTCGGTTTTACCAGGGCATTTAAGGGCAAGATAGATGAAGATGGATTTTTGGTTATCAATTCTTTGCTTGGAGCTTTCCGTGAACATTTTTTTCGTTCTTCATGATACAGTTCGTTGGATATCCATTTTTTATAAAGTACCCCTTAATGTATGGTATTTCTTCCATTATTTAATGGGTTGAACATAATTCTCTAACCCTGTTAAATTTGATTTGATTACGGTAAATAAAACGTTGCTGATATAAATTTAATTCGTTTACAACCGATTAGAAGGCTTAAAATGTAATAGATTCACGTTATTCTTGTTGTCCTCACTTTATTTAAACTTTCATTGTTGAAATCACGAATTGATCTTAGCTAGATCAACACAGCAAATCTGGTAGTACTGAACGACGTTTTCGTTCTAGTATGGGACTCTTCAATATTAGGCATCCGCGACCCTGTCACCAGGAATCGAACCAAGGAATTTCGGTTTTGTGCGTAAACGATTAACTTCTGAGCCGGAATTGAACAATTTTAGTGTATTAACTGTAAAATTATCACAATTTTGGAAAATTTCTGATACTAAATATTTAGATCTATCAAGGAATCAGTATATGAACGGTTATAGCTAATTCGCCAAACACTTATGGTTGTTTTCATTTGTTTATTCTAGCCTATTTTGGTAGGTTGTATTCCTTCTCTATTGCTACACAAACATCAAACGTATGTTTATCAAGGACATAGAAGATCTGCATAATTTTTCAAGCGTAGTCTGGGTTATTGACCGGTTACAAAAACCATAGTAAGTGGTTTTCTTAGGAGACCACTCTCCGAGATATTAATCTAAGTATCTAATCTATAAGAAAGGGAGGGGAAATGCTAAGAGTTCCCGTCCCATGGTAGTCAGTGACCAAAATAGGCTCATACGGTATTCGTTTTCTCAAAATCCTGGTGTCTGTATGCACTATTGTTTTAAAATCAAGATTTTTCAGTTTCTGTTCTTCGAATCACACTATTATCACAAATTTTTGTCCCTATAGTATGGTAGATGTCTGTATAGCACTGTCATCTGTTCGTCACGACTTCGTGATTGGGTACTTAAAGATGAAACAACTCAGTAACTCTACACGTTGCACTTCATCCTTAAACGAAAAAACTTTATCTTGGTTGTAATTTTAGCTTAACTGTACCATAATCTTTATCCCTTCATTACCACGTCATTTTGTATGTTCTGTTCTATTTTCTGATAACTAATTATTCCAGGATCGATGAATATTAAGTCGATAAATCAGGCTTAGCGCATTTGAGAATAGTGTTTTTACGGGTCAGGGTTTGTCAACCCTATGTCGAACTCCCATCTTTTACTCTGGCTGGAAGTCACCAGTAACCCTAAAAATGTTTCAGATAAAGTTTATTAAGCATTCTAATTAATTACGCTTACCACGAAATTCCGGTAGAATGTTGTTATTATTAAGGTAAGAAGTTCAACAATGCTAAAATTGAGTCAACGTTTTGCTAAATAGAATTGAATGATGTTTTAGTATACCGTGAATAAATTAAAGTTGGGTCTATGAAATAGTGAACTCCAGAATTGCGTACCTGCTCCGTGAAATTCGAAACAGCTGTTCATATATTCTATCATTTACCTATATTTTGGCTGCTGTCAGTCTGTAACAGAAAACGTAATGTTATGGTTGGATTATAGATAGAAATGTAGTCTAGGATATGCGTTTCATTGTATTCGTCACTCTTCAGCTAGGCTGAACTTAATGCTGATGATCGGAGTGAGATTAAAACCAAATAACTATCAGGATGAATGATGCATCATGGGTCACATTACTAGCAACAATCTATTTATCTCAAAGCTCTATTGACCCAATCTCTAAAGGATCCCTACATGCGAGGTAGGTGGTAATATTGTTTATTTACTCAGATTTGTGATTTAGTGAATTTAGATCGCCGAACCGATATCATGTAACGGATGTCAGCATAAAAGGATTTATGACTCACTGAAAGATCGAGTCATTAACTGAACTTTGAAGTGTCTTAGCAAAACATGGTGTGCTTCACGACAATAAAAATCGATTATAAACGTTTCAGATCCTATAAACTATTTAGAATCAATTTACACACATTTCATTATCATTACTTATGAATGTATGAATTCTTAATTCTGACTGTTAGTGTCCTTATCGATTGAAGCGGCTTACTTGTATTCAGATCATTTCTTATGAGGTTATTCTCAACGTTATCAATGTTCATTAAGTGTGTCGTACACTGAACTTTCCATCGGATTCCAGTTTCTATAGTGAGCGAATGCTACATATGACAGCAATTTTCATTTCTTTTTGCATTTCAATTGACTGAAATTAACCATTGTTGTTTAATGTGAACATGTCCATTGTAACCAACTCCAAAATTCTTTAATATGTATTAGTCGCCTACTGAACTGATTACTTGTAGACCATCATTGAAAGACGAGAAGTAATCGACGGTTGTTTTCTCCTAGTATGGAACTCCATAACAATGCACACCTGAAATAAAACCAATGACTTTTGACGTACAAATGATTAACTCCTAAACCATTGACCTGACATCCAATGATGCACATGTTTAACTTCAAAAAATCTACAATACTGTCCAATCCTCTTTCATTAGTTGTGGTAAATAACTGTTTCACACCCGACAATGATTGAATTTTACTGATCATGACTTCTCAATAGAATTCCCAAGGTTCCATCTTAAAGCTAGTCACTAGTGAGCACACATTTAATATTTATACAAATGGATTTGCGGAAATTACAAAAGTGTTATTAAAAATTTCTTTTACAAAATTTGTCAGTTAATACAATCATTCATATCGATGAATTGATATAAAAAGTACAAGTGTCTGACATTGAAATTCAAGACGATGAGTCGTCAATTGGATGTATATGGATCATTTCAATATTGTTATACATCAAACGGAGATTTGCATCACTTACCTGTATTTTTAATAATAATCACCACAACGCCATACTGATAATTACCATGTGCTCTATTAGTGACTAGATCTGTGACGGAATTCTCGGAGTTCTAGTGAGAAGCCGTGACTAGTAGAGCTAATCCGTGTCAGGTAGAGACAGGTATCTACCTCAGTACGATTGAGGATAGACTGATTGAGGTTAGATATTAGCGCCATTGGACGCCGACTCAGTAGTCTAGACGTTGGTCGTTCGCGCATAAAGCTGAATTCCCTGGATTCAAATTTCGTGAGGCGGAATCATAGATGCGCGCTGTCGAGAAGTCCCACAATAGGACAAAACCGCCACCAATTACTTCCAAATTTTCAATGGTTCTCTAATATCAATCAGTTCATGATCTCAAATAGATACAAAAACGTTTTCTAAACTTAATCATAAATCTTTACAAACCATAATTGTTAATTGTTTGTTTCAAAATGTTGATTAATCATGTGAGATGAATAGAGAAAAAAAAAGAGAAAAAAGAAAAGAATTAAACGGATCACTCAAAACAAAGTAACATGTGATGTATATTTACATTCTGTTGATGATGATGATGATTATTGGCCTCTTTGTTGAATGGATTATTTTCATTTCTTCTCTTTTCTTTTTCTTTTTCTTTTTCTTTCTTTTCTTTCTTTTCTTTCTTTAGCAAGGTTTTACAATTCTACATTTTATTTCTGAATCGAATGCAATTTCAATATTAAAATATTTACATCGTAAATCATTAACATTAGAATATGATAATGCAGATAATGTAAGTTGTGAGAATTGTTGTTTTGTTTTTCTTTCTTTTTTTTGTTTCTTTTTTTCTTCATTTTCTTGTTAAACATAAATTTGTGTGTGTGTGTGTGCTGAAAAAGAAAAAAAATTTATTCATTATTAAATGAATAAATTATTTAATTGAGTATAGTGATTTAATCATCTTGAAAGAATCCTAAAAGATGAGTTTATATTGAAGATTGTACAATCATACAAAGATCAATTTACCTGCTCATGTAGAACTAAATAGGTAGGTCAATCGTCAAAGCTACTGTCACAACACATTCGGTAGTATCTAACAGTATAGCTTAAAACAGGTCAATTATATAATCAACTCTTCAACATGTAATATACATAGAACATTCAACGTTCACCTTATACTTTGACATCATTTACAGAATACAATCAAATATACTTTAGATCACTAACGCAGATGATCTATGTCGAATGATTGAGGGCCTACTCAAATTAGATGGAAATGGTGTGACTAAAAGACAAACTCAAATTAACACCTCGTGATCAACATATAACATGGATTACCTCTTCGTTGTATCAAGGTAAGATGGCTGCTTTGAAGACCGTATGACACAAAAGACGTCCTTACAGCAATGTATTAGTAAAGGGAGGTACAAGGAAGCAGTTGCGATCACCACCTCATGGGCCAGTCCATGGTGTGTAATTAATTGATGCGTGTTGGTTATCCTTCACCTTGACACGAATCGATGATCTGTTCAATATTCAGTGACCCAACTGCCAGATCATTTAGCTAATGCTCAATAACATTCCACTGACCCTACAATACCAACCTATTTTACATCAACTAAGTTTTGGTCAACTGTAATTTCAGACTTAAGTTGAGCATACAAAAAGGATTTGTCAGATTCCTCTCTCCTACATGAGGACAGTGATTTACAGAAGAGTTTGTGTTATCCGTTCTCCAATGTTTAATATATGTGAAATATTAAGCATTTTCCAACAGTTTTATGTTTATTTAGTTGGTGTATGCAGAATTTATGAGTATAATTTTCACTAGAGACTTCATTTTATGCGGGGACTTTCTATGGATTGGTGTCTTTTATTTCGTGTATTGAGATTGGTTTCGTTGATCGTTCATGGTAGACGAATCTGTGGAAACCTGCAAGTGTTTGGCATTCAATTTTAAAGTTAAAATCATACTCCAACATACAAGACTCATCCATTAAATGATCGAGAGAACACTCGATAATACTACCATACTGAAGACTTATTGAAGATTGTGAGATGGATGGATGAATTCACACTGTCTTACTACAATTTATGATGTTTGTTATCAGAGTTGATGTTTCCACTTAGATTTCGTGACTACTACTACTATTGACATAACTCTGTCATTACAACAACAACAACAACAATACTACCAGTTATACCTTTCCCTTCTCATACTAATTTAATGACTTACCTTAACAACTCTGTTTATCCATATAAGGTTGTGGAGACTGTTAAATCTTATTGAAATGACTAACCGATCAAAATTGAGATGTTAGGCATTTATATTTGTGACTGAAGATCATTGGTTTAACTCCTGATTGTGGGTTGTGGATGCGTACTGCTAAGCGATCCCATACAAGAGTGAAATAGCTGTTTAATGATTATCTTAATAAAATCGGTTAGTCATTTCAATGAATTTTATTGATCTCCACAACTCCATACTGACAGTTCTCTACTTAATCAAACTGTATGAGGAGAAGTTATTTATGTATAAATAGTCTCAATTATTAACACATTTGAGAAAATGTGAGTATGTTTATGAATGGCTATTACTTAATCCCCATTTAGATTGACTATGTGCTTCAGTTTAAATCAGTGACCATTTAGATATCATTCAGTTAAACATAATTCAATCAGTTTCTATTGAGGATTCATCCAAGAGATTAGATAAACTATGTTCTTTCTTTATCGTTTACTCTTCGTTTGTAAGAACCTTGAGAACTTAAATTTTACACAGTTTCATCTTGTTAAATTATGAGGTAAAGTAATATACTAACATCTTGGGCCAGTTACACATCAACCAAGAAATAGGCATATGTTATCGGTCATTAGTTACCTTCACTTTCCAAAGGGAAGCAGTACATATCATCGGTTGAAAATGCAACTTTATGAATGAGTGTTCATATGTTACCAATCCTTCAAGCTCATTTTTTACCATCTCACTTTGGTCACTGGTTTGGATTCGCGTGTAGGAAGCCTAGAAATCAGTATCAGTACTCGGACGATTGCACAATATAACACTTATCGTATTTGGATTTTATTTCTTTATTTAAACATATAAGCATTAGTACAGGGAAGCACCAAATACATGTGTGAGAGCTAAAATACTACCTGTGTACTGAAATAGAAACAGGATTTTTCCCTAGAGGGCCAATCGCCGAGCTTCTAACCTAAAGGTCTGATCCACATGGCAGTAGAACAAGGTTAAGCGATGTAGTCCCATCGTAACCGGTGACCAACAATAGGTTCATACGCTATTTATTACCTCAGGATCATGTAGCCAATGTGCAGCATTAATTTGTTATCAGGGTTTTCCAACTCCACTGAGTGGATTCTTTATACCCACCAACCCCATTAAAGCACGCAACATTCACTTTTCGTCCTCTCAATTTTGTAGACAACAACTCGGCCTTGAGAAGACAGTGAATAGGTCTTTTCTGACAGCGGATGTATACGCATGACCATGTGAGAGTATTCCGACAGAGAGAGGTAACTCTCTTCACCCTCAGTCATACCAGGGTATTTGAGGGCCTTATTTGGATTTAATTCATTTGATTCAATTCAAGAATGCGAAAAACAGTACTTAAAACAGATAATGATACTTGAACAAAATTACAGTTCTCTACCTTTGAATAGGTCTATGTTATCGTTGTTATTAGTAGTGATGAAATCATAGTTTTGCACTTTTTTTTCAATTTCTTCTTCTTATACCACTTAACTATGCATCAGTCAATTGTTAGAAATAAAATTGAAATATTATGATCCATCATCATAAGTGGATAATGTACAAGATGAATTGTAGTAACTAAAACCTTAATGTGTACATTCATACACTTACACATAGATAAATAGATAATCATTACTCTTATTAGATTTTTTTAAGCATCTCAACACAAGATGTACAGAATTCCAATAGAATTCTTGTCTTGATTGACATCATGAATTGATTAATATTAGATTATCATTGAACACTTGGAAGCACTGGATGGCTTTTTCGTCCTAGCATGGGATGCTTCAGCAGTGCACCGCCCAGTGCTTCCAGGTTTTCAGTGTTGGTCTAACATTGATCAATTGATGATCTCAATTAAAATTCATTAATCTCCACAACCCTATACTGAGAAGTCCTGTGTTTCTTTTTGAAAACCTTTACATTGTGATTAGCTGTCATTCATATTCATTTTGTAATTGTTCGCTATCAATCCGGCCTCCATATCAACATTTTATACCATTCAGCATATTTATTGTATGAATTTGATCGTTCCTTCTTTTAAAGTACAAAAGAGAAGTAGAAGGAAAGTAGTATGAATCATCTTCGTGGAGTAATTTAACTACCCATTGAATCATATCATTGTACTTTAACATACAATCTACTTAAAGCACCATCTTAAATTCACTTTTGTTTTGATTACATAATAGATCTTCTTTTATTGATCCCAAACATTTTAATCAATAGTTGTTGCTAATTTCTATCTCGTTACTAAGATCATACATACATATCTGTTACTGTACTTTAAGTTTTGTGTTATTATCATTCTGATTGATTAATCCAAGGTCATCAGTATAATATACTTTTATCATTAGTAATAAATCTATAATAGAACGACATAGAACAACAGTTTATGAATGAAATGAAAGCTTACAACTTGAAGAACATAATGTACATTTAACACTTAACGCGAGACCATAAACTATGGACGAACTAATTAGGAGCGAATCGGCGAGTTCAAGGTCATCGCACCAGTTTTAGTGACCACTGCTCACATACGATTGGTTTACAATAGATTTCACGGAGGATGTTATAGTTGAGCGGTTAGAGTAGATGAGATTGCTGAGAAGTTCCTTTGTTTGTGATTGTGGTGTTCAAATGACTACTGGACATTATGGAGTCTATTGTGATGAAATTGTATTTCGATGTAATAAATGTTGGAGAAAAACGTCTGCTAGAACGAGGATTTTTTTTCACTTGATCCCAATTGACACTAAGATAGGTTATGATAAATGTTGCAAACTGGATAGTAAAAGTGCCAGTAATACTGTTTGCAACCTTTGCAGTTGACAGTTCAGTGGTATGATTACTGTCGAAATCTATGTGAATGAAAATGACAGGACTGAATCCGTCGTTTGAAGGATTCGAGAGAATCGTATGCATTACGATTTCAGGACTGCAGAGTGTCTTTCTAACCTTGAAAAGTTTTTAAATCGTGTTAGAGAAGTATATCCATTCTAATTTTTTTGGTTTTACATAATATATTCCTACTTTAAACCGACTGGCTGAAGTTTCTCAGGGTCACTTAAGATACATTCGAAGGTCTTTCATAAATTGTTCAGTAAAGGTGTAATATGTCTTCTATGGACAAAATATTGTAGTGCATTTCAACTTGCCGGATGAAGTAAGTAAATAATGAGAAAATTAAAGCTTGCAATGAAATCTACAATAAAATTTATTTTTAATAGTTGAATTCATGAGTCAAGTGAAGCTAGAACACCACGAAAAACTTGAAAGGACTGTACGGCAGTTTCGTCCCAGTGCGGAACTCTTCAGCAACTGTGTCGTTTGTCTACCGTGTAATATCATGGATTGGTTCAAGTAAGACTTACATACTATCAAGTGCCAGCTAAATGGTTTGGAGGTCGAACGTTTATGATAGTTCTAGAATATTTATTATCCAGTTTTAATTATCTAATGTAACAAAAACTGTAGGAAATTTATAAAGACAGAGATGGATATGTTTGTCATACTCACTAGACAATGATTACAACCAATGTAAGAACATGGATGAGAAAAAGGCTTCAACTATTTAACTGATCTCAGTCACAACGGTAGATCACAGTTAATCGCTGACCGTTAGCCACAGCTTCCGCAACTTCTAAAAACTTACCGTCGAATTATGTTGTTGATTCTTTTGAATCTATTCTAAGCATCTGGTTTGTTTCTATTGTTTAATAGTTGACTTGCTATGAAATTAAAGAGAGAATATCAAGTCATCGAAGAAGTAGGTTCATGAAAATATGCCTGTCTTTACTGTTAACCTTGTATGAAGATTATTTTCCCTATCAGTAAATGAATGAATACATAGACTGTAAAACGACGATTCACGAAAGACTAGAACATTCATCATTAAAATCACCAAACTGAACTCACAATTAAATGACAAAAGTCTACAGATCCGATGAAAGCGTCAGATGATGACGGGAATGCGCACAATAATTAATTTTCTATTGTTTGTTTGAATTTTCCAATTGATGTTTAAGACTGTAATTGACCAGTCTCTTATTGACATAGATACATCCTGTATGTATTGCTTCGATATTATTTTAAGTCACAATCATCAACTCTGAGAAATAGATACATTCAGTTGACGAATCTTGGATGGGACGAAACACGCGTCTTGAGTTTCATTGCTAGTCACCATTCATCTTTATTAAGTTTGTCACTTTGCACTTGAACTTGTTCATGATAACATTTTTCTTATAAATTTATTTTATTAGAATGGAATGACTCCATTTTTAATAGCTGCTTCCAAAGGAAATGAATTATTAATGGAGATTTTGGTTAAACGAAACTGTAATGTGAATGCAACAGATCTGGTAAGTTAGAATGGAATTTGTACACAGTTGAAATCAAATGTTATGCTTGAATTATTTGGTGAGACTAGAATCTATGGACGAAACCAATCAGGTGTATAAGATAACAGATCTGGGATTTTGACGCGAACTTCACTCATCTATTTGGATAAATAGAGTCTTGGCATTATAACTGATATCGGTTCGTGATGAAAACCCGAAATCTAATTCCTAACCTTAACCGTCAACTGTAAATGAGAATTCTAATTCCTCACACACAGGTTCATAACCTTCATTTGATCCTAGTTATTAGGTGAACACTCTCATGTTCAGTCTGGTGTCGCTCAATGGTCGTCCATAAATTATAGTCTCATCAATTATTCTATGAAATCACAATATAATAGTTATATCAATGAATTTAACCTAGTACAAAAATATTTATCGTCTATGGTAATACGTCAAATAGCGCTAAATAGATGTAGTAGTTAGGCTTACATGTCATGATGATTCAATAAGTCTATATTGGCTGGAGCACTTACTGCTTCTCGTTCTACCATTGTAGATAGGTTAGTTGGAAGGCTGTAAGACCAAATTAACAGAGTAATAATCCTGGGACAATGTTGTACTTGTGACTGTGAGATTTCACGTCAGAAACCAGTGTCTGTAATGATGTCGTTTCCCCATCACAGAAGGGGGTTTGAAATGTTGAGAATATCAACAGAATATCTCGTCTTAGTCCTATTGTGATCCATGCTACTCATGCCTGTAGTAGTACATAACAAAAATTAGAAGTGTTATAATTTGTGAACTGAATGTTGAATGTATTAGCATATTTTAATTTTACTTTTTATATCCGGTCGTCCCTGATTGTTATGTCGGAAACGCTTATCACTTATACTCGGAACGAGGGACCTTTGCAATTCCCACGACGCGAAAGTAAGAACACAAAGAATGGTATAAGTGGTGATTTCTTAACCCCCAAAACACGACGACTCTAGTCGAAAATACACTCATTTATATATTGATTGCACACCCATTTTGACTATTAATTAGAATTAAATCACATACTCAGTCATAACAAATCACACACTAAGTATAGTTCATGCCAATGGAATACAAGAATATCGTATATTATGCAGAAGAAAGTATCATACGACAAAAGAAAGCAAATACTTCACTGAATGATTATCACATTCAATCAGAACGGAAGTAATCTTGAACAAAACTCATAATGAGTGAATCAATCGAATTTTGACTTTTCTTTCCATCATCTCAAGAAGTGAAAGGAATGGCAGTAGAAGGTCGGAAAGTTCAAATAGAAGAGAACAGGGTCAGAGAGTAATTGTAAGAACGATAAAACAACGATGACGTTTGAGAAAATTTCTGTAAAACTTGCGAATGAAGTATTGAAAACCTGAAAGCACAGGATGGCCGTTTCGTTCAGTGGTGGTCTAACTTAAATCGGTTAATAATGTCAATGAAGTAGTTATATTCACTTTATTCACTGTTGCAATTACATTCTCTAAACCCATGTAACAGTTATTTCCAGTTTTCGAGTATTCGTTGAACATTCTTTTACCATGCTTTTGTGTTCTTAATCTCCATTCGATTGTTGATAGTCACTACTGAATTCAGACACAACTATTGATTGCCATTTACCATATTGTATGTTGTAACTACCTTTTATGTTGGTATTAAAGGAAGTATTTGCCTTTCCAGACATGCCGACCTGTTAATCCCCGTGTGTGTCACACGGTTGACGGCTTGTAACTAACTGTTATATTGATATATCTCGCGGGGCGGGGTCGTGGATGCGCACTGCTGAGGAGTCCCACAATAAGACGAAAAGATCGTCCATTACTTCCAAGTTTTCCATGGTGGCCTAGCTTCAATTGGCCCATGATCTTAACAATTGCAATTCCTATAATATCCATACAGAAAAATCCATTCTGATACTAAAATAATATTGTTTCATATGCTTATATGGATTCTTAATCAGTTATGCCAACTATCTTCATAATCAACCTTATTATATGCCAAAACGTCAATTATAGATTTTAAGTTCATCATTAAATGATGAATGAATAGTACACTGTTCAACTTTAAAACGATTAACCATTGTGGAGATGCTAAATTATCAGTAGTATAGTAATATCGATGTCAATAGTATAATGTAACCATAAATAATTATAGAAGCTAAGAAAATGCAATATGAAGAAAATGATATCTATGATAATAAATAATGTTTCAATTACCTTACATACCATAATGAAATAAGAATGATCTAACTTGTATATGTATATATTCAATGTTACAATTATAGTCTTAGGTATGTTTGTAATTTATAACATGTAAAATCTATACATATGGTTCTATCTATTGAAAGATCCAATCAAACGGTGGAGATACATGTGAAATCATGGTTCAAAATAACGATATATCTAAAGAACTCTTTAACTTTCAATGGTTGAAATCATGAGTCATTTGAAGCCAGACCATCATTGAAAACCTGGAAGCAATTGGACGGGCATTTCGTCTTACTGTGAAACTCCTCAACATTGTGCATCCACGATCCCGACTCACGAGATTCAAATCCAGGACCTATCGGTATGGCGTGCGAACGCTTAATCTTTTGACCATTCAGTCGGCATCCAATGGTGTTCATGTCTAACTTCAACTAATCCACGAAATTGAGTGGCCCATCCATCATTATCATCAATGAGTTACTGTCTCACAACAGATACGGTTGAACTCCACAGGTCACTGCTTCTCACTAGAACTCCAGGAAATACCTCTTGAAGCCAGTCACTAGTGAGCATATGCTGATTAGTATCAGGAGGGATGTTTGTGGATATTATAGTACTTTTAAAAGTTGAGGTTATGAGTCAATTGAAGCTAAACCACCATGGAAAACTTGGAAGCGTTGGACGATCGTTTCGTCCTATTGTGGGACTCCTCAGCAGTGCGCATCCACGACCCCGCCTCGCGAGATATATCAATATAACAGTTAGTTACAAGCCGTCAACCGTGTGACACCTATGAGGATTAACAGGTCGGCATGTCTGGAAAGGTAAATACTTCCTTTAATACCAACATAAAAGGTAGTTACAACATACAATAGGGTAAATGGCAATCGATAATTGTGTCTGAATTCAGTAGTGACTATCAACAATCGAATGGAGATTAAGAGCACAAAAGCATGGTGAAAGAATGTTCAACGAATACTCAAAAACTGAAAATAACTGTTACATGGGTTTAGAGAATGTAATTACAACAGTGAATAAAGTGAATATAACTACTTCATTGACATTATTAACCGATTTAAGTTAGACCACCACTGGAAACCTGGAAGCGCTGGATAGCCTTTTGGTTCTGCTATGGAACTCCTCACTAGTACCCATCCAAGAACTCGTCACTGGGGATTGAACCCAGAACCTTTGATTTCATGAGCGAAATCCTAATCTCTATATCAATGAGCTGACATCCAATTATATTAATGTCTAACCTAGATCAATCCTCGACATTCCGCGACCCTCTTCTATTATCTTCGGTGTGTAACTGCTTCACTTGACACGATTGAACTATACTAATCATCTTACCTTAACTCTGGAATTTTCCTCTAGAAACTACTTACTAGCAAGCATTTGATAATTTTCAGTATGTTGTTGTTTAGATTGTTGAATTTCATTGAAATTATGAATGTTCCTATTCAACGTAAATGCAATCCATATTCATTCACATTCAGAAATTATTAGAAATGAAACTGCTTACTGAACATTATTTAGTAGTATATTACTTAGCAATATAAAGCAAGCACAGAAATACTTAGAACAAAGGGAGAATGAAGAGAGAATACATTTAATGAAAATAATCATCATCATCCTAAAGTCATTTTAACAATTGTTTGTATCCTCATTTCGATTTGACTTAAATCTTCCCGATATCAATAATAATGTTTATGGAGATTACTGAATGTTATTGATATCGCTAACCGAACTAAGTTATATAACTATTGGAAACTGAATAGCACTGGACAGCTGATTTTGTTTCGAATGTCGGATTTCTCAGTAGTGCATATGTACGACCAAGCCACCAGGAATTGTATCCAGGACTCTCAGGTCTCTTCGAGAGAGGTTTAAATTCGAGATACTGAGCCATCATCCATTGATTTACATGCTTAACTTCAATCCATTCACGATATTGTGTTAACATATCCATCCGTCTTCTATAGATTACTGCCTCAAACCCGACACAACTTAATTCTACTGCTTATAGCTTCTCACCAGAAATGGTCTAGATAAAACAACCACATACCTTGGTGTGAATTACTCGGTCGATTCCAATTTACGAATATGTTTTTCTTTTGTGAACAAACGAGTGAACATGATTTCCAGAATACAGTTTACCTCATTATCATTTCAAAACATCTCATCAGTTGGATTATAAATGGTTCAAAGTTAAGAAACCAACATGTTTAAATAACAGAAGCAAAACATTTGACATACTAAAGTTGAACAAATGTCTGGTTTACATTACTAATAAATACGTATTATAAACCAGAGTTTTTGAATGTCTGTTTCGTCCCAATATGTGATCCATAAGTTGTATGTATCTACGATACCCCCATGGACTGAACCCAGGATTTCCTGATTTTTAAGTGCGGGTTTCAACTTCAAACTCACACACCAATATTAATCATTTTGTTACTCGTGACCAGCCTAATAAAATGATTCCCATAGTTCTAATGAGAGGCCTTTATATATGGAGCTCATATATATTGAATGTGAGTCAGATGCTTATAAAAGGCTTACAAAGATGGTTGTGTAATAACATGAATAAATTGACGTTATACTTGTAACCCGTTGGATGATCTCTTAATAGTCTGAAGTTTTTTCATTCCTCTAGTCACCTTAACGTGATGTACTCAATCTGTGGTAGGTTATCACTTAGTACTTCCTGAATTTCTAATTAAGATCAATTCATGATTTAAACTATGAAATTTGATCATTTCTTCAAGCATTCCATGGTAAAACAGAAGTACAAATGTAACTAGTCTATATATATAGCATTATCCTTAACAAGATGTAAACCATTTTATTTCTTATATTGGTTCTTGTTTTTCAAGTATGGTCGAAATGCATTACACTTTGTCTCAAAAAATGGTCATATTGATGCACTATACTACTTATTGTCAGTGGAACTACTTAAAACAAAAATTGACGAACTAGTAAGTAATTGATTATTAACAGTTAAAACTAACCAATATTACATTTGATTGTTTCCTGTATAGTAGTTAACAATTAACCAAAAAGAAGGATGAATTCTCTAGTGTAGGTAACATTAAGTGTAGTATGATTGCCTGTCGATCTAAGATGATGAAAAGTTCAACATTTAAAAGAATCAAGAATATAAATGGAACTATGGTATATGTGAATGGTGTTAATCTATATCATCTAATATCTCCAAAAATTGATCCTCCGCATTGCTCAGGCACCATAACAGATAGTATCAACACCTATCATCATTATCATCATCATCACTCAGATTAGAAATCCATAACTTGATGGATCGACATCATATTTTGATTTGATCGTGTTATTAAGGATTAAGAACGATGTAGTACATCTATTACCTAATAAACTTTAGTTGTATTTCAGAATTTAAAAACTTAAAAGAGTTGGCAGCAAAACCTACTTGACTTTCGTGTTTATCAGTAAGAATTGCCTAAAATCTTGTGCTATTCGATGCTCGATGTTGGATTATATCCTGTATTATTCAGTTTTATGGTTTGAGACATTAACACTGGCCTGATTACTTGCAGTCGCTTGAAATTTAAACATAGAGAATTTAATATCTATTCAACTATACTAGTGACCATATTGTAATAGTAATCTTCTCAAGGTGCACATGTTCCAGTAAAAATAGAATAACAACAATTTTGAATATCACCAAGTTCTTATGTATGACCAAATGTTAGCTGACTACATTATTGTTATATGAATTCAGTAGCAAAGTGGATAATATGGTGTTAGACTTAAGCGATACAGTATTCAGACGTTAATATGATGAACATTAATGCTTAGGTGCAGGTAATTTCAACCACCAAGTCTAAAATAAAACGAAATGCACATCCTAGATTCCAACGTTACTATTCAAAGTCTTGCTTTACTTATTACTGTAAATATTTGTCAGTAGTATAATTCTATATAGAAAATAACTCTCATTTCCCTTACTTGGTACGAATCCTTTCTATTCAAACCCTCAAAAAGTTATCCACTTATTGGGTCTGTTCTGTACAAACCTGTGACATAATGGCTATAATAAGGTAACCCATAAAGAATGCACAGATGCTAACTAAAACTGATCGAAATTTGGTCAAAATATCAACAGTGGGATAAACCTAGAACAGTACAAATTCAATTAAAATTCATATCGTTTGCCCAAGTAAGTGGCTGACTGAAATCAATAGATAAGTGAATGATACGCTGGGTTTTTGAAGCGAAAGGTAGTAATTCCAAATTCAAGAGTGAAACAAAAAGCCGTCTCTTTGGCAGTTATGTCTAGCTAACGAGTTCCGAATAAGACGAAACGCTCATACTTGATTCTACTACTAACTAAATTTCATCTATTCCGTTTAAACAATCTAACTGTATTCTAAAATGTGGGTATGAGACTGTTTTATTCGACGAATCAATATTATCGTAGAAAGTCGATGTTGAAATGACTAAAGCATTCAAACTTCCGTCTGTAAATCTTCAAATTTAAACTTTACATCGCCTAATTTGAATTGCCCTTCCTCAAAATGTTATCAACTTCAATATCTATTTTTCTATCATTCTTGAACTGACAAGAAGAACTGATCAAGTCACTAAATGATAATTATTCACTTTAAAATTCGATTAAGTCTTAACAAAATCAGTTGTTGACTATTTCAGTGTATTATTAACTAGTTTATTCTGATAATTTCCGTTGTATATTATCATAATATCTGTTTGGTAAGGACGTTAGAAGTGTGGAAAGATAGTACTAAGGGGATAGTGTTGAAAAATAATTGGATACGTCCCGACCGTCGTCGCCACCTTGACGTGATGGTCCGGCTTGCCTATCGTGATGAAGCAACCGGGCTATACTGGCTGGAGCGATCGTTCCTCAGGGTCGGTTGAAGAACCGTAAGACTAAAATCAACAAACTCAAGGTCCGAAGGCGAAGTCGTACTCCTGACTGTACAGAGGTGTGACAGCAGTCAGGTGTTTCCTTCAGACAACTAGCATAATAACAGCGATGCTGCCTTCCCACAAGGAGGGGTGGGGTTAGAAATGGTCGACCTTAGAAATTCACACCTCACCTTATCCGACGAATATCCGTCTCCAGCGATAAAGTCTCAACAAGTATGGAGCTTACATGAAAATTACTCACTAAAGGGTCGTGTGTGACCGACCTCAAGCAGTTGTCTCTTGGGCACTGTTGTCACACTTTCAGATCACAAAGACCATCTGTAATCCAATTTCATTTCGAGGTACCTCCAGAAGAACCCTTCCACTGTGTGGGCAACTGGGAAGTGATAACCGCCCTCATGCCTCTAACAGCACTCAAGACCACTGACTGAATCGGATACGTTCATTCCTTTCAAACACTTCTGCATTGATGTTCTTGCACTGTAAAACAGCAGCAGATTATAACAGTAGTGACAAAAATGTTCCAGTTACAATAAATTCTCTTCAAATTAACCAGAAGTCCTTAACCTTCATTGATGAAACATTCCGAATGTGAAGATCAACTTATTGCTGAGATTAACGTACGCTTCTCTCCCATTAATCCATTGATTCCCTGATTCGATTATGAACAAGAAAAGACAGAAACCTAGCTTTAATTGTCATATATTTTAACAACCCAGCTTCTATTTCAAATACTCATTAGCTTATATACATGATTTCTTGAACTGAAAGCCATACCAAATACAGAACCATACGAACGAATAATGACAGCTAATAAGTTCACCAAAAGCTTACGATAAAGAGAATATGGAAATACAATGACAGTGATCTACTAATTATACAATAGAAGTGTCAGTAATAATAATTCATAAAGTAACCCGAAGAGTTACACTTCTACATTCACTCAGCTATAGCACTTGATATTGATAAATGATGATTATTGCAGTTAGACAATTCACAATTGATTGATAATTACACTAACTTACATTAAATGTTACTTTTGTCTAGTCCTTAATACTGAATGAATTCTATCAATGACATGACAATATGAAAGCTGGTTTAAGTGAATCAACCTCATGTAGGTGTTTAGAATTAGTCAGGTCAGTTTTAATGCCTTAGACTGTGGAACTGATTAATATGCGTTCGAATCTCATAGGGAGCATCAGTACTCTCAAGACTACAAGCACATCATATTGATAATGTTCAGTCAACAAGAAACCCATATCAAGAAGGATTTCCTGAAGACTAACTAACAGTATTTGAATGTTGTTAATTTGTCATTTATGTAAAACTATACTTGCCTGGCATAATTTATATATATATATATATATATATATATATATATATATATATATATATATATATATATATATATATATACGTACTGTCTTTTATTACTTTCATTTTAGGATAACTCAGGGTGTAGTCCATTACATTTGGCCTGTGAAAACAATCAACAACATTGTGTTCGACTACTTCTAGAAACTGGTGCAAATCCAGACATTGAAACAGAGGTTGGATTATTTTAAGTTTTTTTTTTAGAAAATAGACAATAATTAAGCAATAGTTTCTACTTGGTTACTCTATTAATATGGTATCATCAAATGCCCTGGTACTGATGAGGGTAAAACAAATCTTCTCCAACTCTCGAAATTCCATTATAAGGCCGTTTGTGATTTACGCAAAGTGGGTCCTACTTACAGGATGGGCCAATTCATCAAAATGAAAAGACTAAAAGCAAATGTTTAGAAACTAAACCGGATTGACAGGTTAGGAGGGTCTATCCAGGGGATCTATAAAAGTCTATTTCCAAACGAATGGTGTAAATAAGCTCCGATATCCTTGGGTAACAAACTGCATGTAAATTTATTGTAGTCACTGGTTGTCATGAGACGCTCTCTACCGACGTTACTACAATACCTTGTGGATTAAAATTCTAGCTCGTAGGTTCGGGGAGTGTCCATGTAGTAAAACCAACAGCTTCTGTATGAGAACACCGGGAGTAGCCTATCTCCTATATATGTCCTAGAAGTACATAATGTGATGAGTCTGATAAACTGAAAACTGACGTTTACTGACTCGTACTTTGGCCACGTAACTTCTTTCCTCCTTCGTCAGTTACAGATGATAATATTCATTTGTGTGTACAGTCAGTTAAGTTTGCACCACAAACTCATCACACTTATTTGAATGAGTTTCGTTGAGAAGTTTTAGTGGAGATTACTGTGATTTAAGAGTAGAAAGCTTTTTGTCTTAAAAAATGCCATAACATTTTTAATAGTACCACTTGTTAAAACCAAAATATAATCACGTACTTAGGGGCCTACTTTGAATTTCTAGTAAACTATTGTAACTCAGTTAATCAGTAACTACGTAAAATTTCGTACGTACGTACATCAGTTCGAGTTGTTATACCACATTTCCACACAGATAAAATTGTCCATTAAAATCCCATAGTGGTAAAGGTAGTAAGAGTATAAACAGTAATCGGAAACATTAGGGCTTGAAGATGTTATTCAAGAAGTATAATCCAGTGAAATTAATTTGAAAAGAGAAAAACGAAAGGGGCATGAAGAATTCAGAAGGTTAGAATTTGGGAGAACACAAAGAGTGGATGCAACTGTGCCATTGAAAACGATTTTGAACCATGTCATTCAGGGTCTCTAACCATCGGTTGCAATCGTCTCGCGGATACCAACCAAGTAATCTACACCTACGAACATGGCTCAGTCCACTTGTCAGTGACTCCATGGATTTATGCCATGTTTTGGTCTTTCTTCAAACTTACTCCTTCACCATAAAACATCACACGTCGGGGCATTCGGTGGTTTAACATGCGTAACACATGTCTCAGCCATCTCAACTGATGAAGTTTCACTACTTCATCAATTGATTTGTCATCCTTATCTAGTACCCGTTTCCTAACAACTGCATTACTTACTCGATGGTTCCAGGATATACGAGCAATATTTCCAAGAAACCTATGATCGAATACTAGTAACCTACGAATATCCTCTACTATTATCGGCCATGTTTCACTGCCATAAAGTAGGACGGAACGAATTACTACTCAGTAGACCCATCCCTTGCTTCGTAGACGGATATCTCGCCTACGTCATAAATGACGCAAGTTGGCAAAAGATAGTCGAGCCTTCTCTATCCATCCTGAGATTTCGTCACACAACTATTGCAATTGATATAGATTTATCCACTTAGTCAAGAAAATGATAATCATTGTTAGTGATAATGAATCAACTTTGTGTACTATATTAGGAATTGTTTTAAGTTGACAATACAGAACATTAAATTCTAATAAACTAGAGCAAATCTTCAACTAACATGTCATGATATAAAGTTCCTAGTTTAAATCATCGACATGAATTCGTGAATGTACATAGTTGAAGACAAAGAATCTGTTCAATACATACTCTTTTAGTTTACTCTAATAATTCAACTTAATCCATTTTGTAACCAAAAGTGAAAATAGCTGATGAAAATATCAGTTTGTTTTATATATTAACTCAGTTCCTGTTATAACGATTGGTTTACCACGTTTACACGTATGGGACGTTAATTTACCGTAGACGAATATCTACATTAGATTCCCTCATAGTGTCTATTATTCTACAGGACAACAACATAACTCAGATGATCAAGAACATGTGATTAGCCTGACGATAACGTAAATATATTTCCACACCAAAAACCCAACACAATCCAACAATAATGAACAATCAATGATAAGTGAGTGAGTGATAATAACAAGGATAAGGGAATACATAACTTATCTGACATCTATCAGATTATCTACATATCTGACTATGCAAACAACCAATCAATATCATTCTCACCCACACATCAGTTCCAATTAGTAGCTATCAAGTGTCCCCTCATTTTGAATGATACTCCCAACTGATGTTAATCCAACATGACTACTATCTACAAAACACACAAAAAATTCATAAAAATAATAATTAAGGTAAACTGACTGGAATATAAGGAAGATAAGATATAGACACTGATCGAGTTCAATCACTTCGTAGTTGAGATGGATATTGATTTATTGGGTCTTTTATCGTTTAAGACAAGATAAATGCTCTATCATTTTCCGTTTTGAACATAGACCCCTATCTTATAACTAACCTGATAAATACTGCTTCAGTTGTTTGATAATCTCTGAGTATGATCAATTTAATCGGTTTACTATTAACATGATCAATTGTTATTGAAAATAATTGTTTTATACTGTATGGCTATCTGACTTTACTTACTTAATTACACCTGTTACTCCTCGTGAAGGAGCATAGTCAGCCCAACAGCACTCTCTATTCAATCCCTTCAGGATTCTAAGTTAGCGCTTACCTCGTGATGAAGTTTGATTGTTTCTAAAATATATTTCTTATCCACCTCCGAGTGACAGATATTGAGTATCTTCTTTAGACAATTGTTTATAAATACTTGTACTTTGTTGATGATGGTTGTGGTAGTAGTTGTTCAAGTTTCAGCTCCGTATAGTAGAACTGTTTTGACGTTTGTATTGAAAATCGTGACTTTGATGTTGGTTGGCAGATAGTTGTTTTGAGTTCTATATGTTCTTTACCTGTAGAAATGCCGTTCAGTATATCAATAGTGTGATATATATTTGTTTAAAGCATTTATATTTGTCATAGCATATATTCTGATTCTAGACGATATTTAGTTCTTGATCAGTTGTCCGATATTTATATCAGAAAAGATTTTTGTGGATATTATAGTAATTTCAATAGGTGAGATCATGAGTCAGTTGAAGCCAGACCATCATTGAAAACCTGGAAGCAACTGGACGGTCATTTCGTCCTACTGTGACACTCCTCAACATTGTGTATCCACGATCCCGACTTACGAGATTCGAACCCAGGACCTATCGGTCTCAAGCGCGAAAGCTTAACATCTAGATCACTGAGCCGGCTTTCAACAGTGTTAATGCCTAACTTCAACTAATCCACGAAATTGAGCGACGCATCCACCATTGTCATTAGTGAGTTACTATCTTACAATAGACCCGATTGAACTCTACTGGTCACTGCTTCCAGTGCTTCCAAGTTTTCCATGGTGATCCAGCTTCAGTTAATTCATGATCTCGATATTTATGTATATGTATGTCATGTGAACCCGTATCCGGTGTCGAGTCAAATATAGATAATTACCGACATTACAGTAAAAGATTCAAACAAATCTGAAGTAAATTTCTGTTAATTTCCTTCATACTTTCCAGGTTTTTTTAAAACCAAACGTTTTTTTTTCAACTTTTAGACTCGTGATTGTCCTTTGATCGAATGTTCACGGAGAGGATTTCACAAGTGTATTGATTTGCTTATTGAAAATAAAGCAAGTCGTGAGAAAACAAGCAAAGTAAGCCAATAATGTACACATAACATATATGTATACACTGATCAGTTAGTTAGTCGTAATCACTGTTGTTTTTAAGGAAAGAAGGATAGTGGCTAGCATTGAAATCCAGGACGCATGTTTCGTCCCACTTAGGACACATCAGCTGGATGTATCTGCATCTCTTAGTGGGTGTCCACTCTGCTACTCGAACCCAGTATCGTTCGCATCAAACGCCATCGCGTTATTCACTTAGCTACTGAGTCCTGATAACCATCTGTTTGTGCAATGAGATGAAGTTTAAATTCACTTCGTATTGTTTACTTGTATCTTCCCGTTGTATTTAGGACTGCAGTTGATCAGTCCCTTATTGTCATATGTGCTTACTGTGCATATTCACTCGATATTGCCTTAATTCACAAGCATTATATCCAAAGATGGATAGTGGCTAGCAGTGGAATTCAGTCTGAAGCGTGTTTCGTCCTATTTGGGAGTTATCAGCTGGATGTAACTGCATCTCTGGGTTGGTGTTCACCCTTGGACTCCAACTCAGTACCGTTCGCTTCAAACGCCAATAGAAAGATACATGTAAACAACAACAAGTCAATACAATGTTTTTTTTGTCTATTCTTCATCTAATGCTGATCAAATCTTGTTGATCAGATTGCAATTTACGGTGACCTTTAGTTGTCAAAGTGAATCGACATAGTGTAGAGTATTTTGTACAATAATTGATTGACAGATATATCCAAGAAGTTAGAGACTGGTTTGAATAGTAGTAATGTTTCTCAATGTAATACTGAGTAATACTGGTTTGATTCTCATGTGGAATGATAATTCCTTTAAGTATGCAGTTACGTTTTAATGAACAGTTGGAGAACTAATCCGTATTTGTTAAACAGTCTTACTGATATAGGGAGCTGTTTGATGAACGCTTAGTTGAATATTGTTAGTTTTTACAAGATATGTAATTATTAGGTTCTGACATATTAACTGAAACAACATCTAATCACGAACCGACAAAAGTCGGGACGTTATCATATTTTATGCTAGAATTTCACAGAAGTACATTGATTAGTAGCTTATGCCTAATTTATTCAATCCTTAGTACTGGGATTATACTGCAAAGCGATCACTAGTTCAAATAACTTGACATCGCGTTGGTTGAAGATAACTATCGGAAAATTCGAAGATCATTTATGTCTTAAACTGTGCTGTTGGGTTACACAGGTTCGAATCGCACGAGAGATATCAGTTCCCTCATCATTATAACCACGTTCTCCTAACGAGTACTAAACAGGTTTTCCCATCGATTACTTCCGACTAATTAAAATCTCAAAAGTGTATGTTAGTTGTTAGAGTGACCTAAACAGTACGTAGAAATAATTCATTGAAGTATTATGATATATCTATACAATATATTATTAGTGATGCCATTGCTCAATATGTTCTTTTTCTAGGTGGGTGATACAGCCCTACATGTCGCAGCATTATCTAATCTTTCAGATACTATCTATTTTTTATTCTCAAGAAAATTTGATCTTTGCGCTGTCAAAGAGGTAAGTTTTTTTTCGTGCATTACTATTCTCATCTGCTCACTAGTGACTGACTTCAAGAGATACTCCTAGAGTTCTAGTGAGAAGCCGTTACCAGTAGAGTTCAACCAGGTCTATTGTGAGATATCAACCGACTGAAGACAATGGTGAACGGTGGCGCAACTTCGTGGATTGTTTGAAGTTAGATATTAACACCCTCCGATGTCTGCCAGCTCAGTGGTCTAGTTGGTTAAGCGCCTGGCGCGAGACTGATGGGTCCCGGGTCCAAATCTCGCGGGGTGCGGGGTCGTGGGTGCGCACTGGTGAGGAGTCCCGTACTAGGACGAAACGGCCGTCCAGTGCTTCCAGGTTTCCCATGCTGGTCTAGCTTCAACTGACTCATGATTTCAACTAGTGAAAAATTAACTGGTTAGTTACAGTCTCTTCATTTCTTATGCTTGCTAACTGACTCCAGTGGTTGGTAAGTTACATAGCTCGGGTAAAATGGTTGATTATTTCGATGGGAAATATTTGAATTAAACACTAACATCGTAAACTCCATGTATCCTAAAGAGCAAATTAGTTCTATTAAGATTGTTAGTTATCTCTTACTGATGAAACCTAGATCAATCAGAGTTCCTTAATGATTGCCTTTAACCACATAATATGACATTCTAATTTGTTGATCGAAGTTTTTTTACTTCAGATTCTGTAGTTATGTTGTTAAGTAGTCTGAACAGTCTTATCGGAACATTTCTCTTGTTAACGTGTCAACTAATGCTAATCATTCAACTATTCTTCCATTATAGTTTTAGGCTGGTTAAGATGTACACATAAGTGTACAAAAGAGTTATACTCTATCCATTGATAGACCGGATTTGATATATTACGTCGGTTCTTTAAGCGGTTTACGATCTTATAAGATTTAAAAGCAAGAAACAGACATTGCTGAACATCTCTAATCATTTAATTACACGCACCTTAATCAGAAAGTAAATCCGATGTTCACCATGTTGTGTTAATGAGGTAAGGCAACTTGGATCGATTCGCATGTGTGCCAGGTCTTACGTTGTAGCTAACTGACTGACTGAAGCAGATGGTAGCCTACAGTTCTGTACCTGTCTTATACCAACAGTCAATGATATCAAATGTTCATTGAGTCACCGCTAACTATTTTTAAACCTTCAAATATTTTGATGTTCGATTAAGGTTATCTACAACGTTTTCAAAGTTCTATTCAACACTTTCAACTTTTTTCACGATAATATGGTACATGATTGATGAACATTAGTGTAGGTTTCATTGAAGATCTTATTTCAAGCTCCAGCTTTCACTATATTTGTTATTCTAATCTGATATGTCAAACTGGGCTACACTGGCAGTTTTAACTCGTGGATTGAGATCTTCCATGAAAATTAAGCTCTAATATACAACATTCACATATCAAATGAACCGTAAAATGTACGAGAACAGTATATCTGTGGTGTGAGTTACTTGTTTTCAAATAAGTAGTTTATAACGGTGGTCGGGCATAGAATACATTTCAGTAGAAGTTCGATGAGGAAAGAACGGGAACGGAATGCACTTGGTATAAAAACGCGTGAACAATGAAATCTGAGACAATGGATTGATGTCTGCGACAGGAACGGTCAAGTTTGAGATGATAGATTAATAACCTGCAAATTAACGGTTTACTACATGGTTCTCGGATTTTAGTGAGATGCTCTATTGTCCCCAACTCCGCCCGGCGTCCCTTCGGGGGCTCCTGTCGGTCCCAAGCCCGGATAAAGGAGGAGGGTTGGGCATGGGGTTAACGTCCCCATCTCGTAGAAATCTAACTCGCTAAAAAACGCTAACCATAAGAAATCAATCAAATCTTTTAAACTCTGCCCCGGGAATCAAAAGGTCTTCATTTAGAAGAACTATGACGCCTCATGATGAAAGCCGAATTCCTTCGGACGTTACGAAGCCGATGCCCCTTCTGACAACTAGAGCGACCATTTACTTAGGTACATGTAATGGTCGTACAGTGTGGGACAGCGGGAGAGCACTCGAAATCGCTGCAGAAATGAGGAGATACAACCTAGAGGTGCTTGGGATCAGTGAAACACATTGGACGCAAGTTGGTCAACAACGACTAACTTCAGGAGAGCTTCTGTTATACTCCGGTCATGAAGAAGAAAATGCCCCACATACACAAGGAGTTGCATTGATGATGTCCAAACAAGCACAAAATTCACTTATCGGATGGGAACCTCATGGACCAAGGGTCATCAAAGCCTCATTCAAAACAAAGAAAGAGGGCATTTCAATGAACATCATCCAATGCTATGCGCCTACCAACGATTACAATGAAGACGCTAAAGATCAATTCTACAGTAGGCTGCAGTCAATCATCGAGAAGTGTCCAACAAAGGATCTGACCATTCTGATGGGAGACTTCAATGCCACGGTTGGAACGGACGACACTGGATGTGAAGACATCATGGGACAACAAGGACTGGGAGAACGGAACGAAAATGGTGAGAGATTTGCAAACCTATGTGATCATAGACGGTACCATATTCCCACATAAACGCATACACAAAACCACATGGACTTTACCGGATCACACTACGCAAAACCAAATCGACCATATTTGCATCAACAAAAAGTTCAGGAGGACAATGGAGGACGTGAGAACCAAGAGAGGAGCTGATATAGCATCAGGTCATCACTTGCTGGTCGCCAAGATGAAATTGAAACTCAAGAAGCGCTGGACAACGGGGCGGACAACAACACAAAAGTTTATTACAGTTTTTCTTCGGGATACTGATCAACTCAAAAAATTCAAGATAATCCACAGCAATAGATTCCAGGCCTTTCATGACCTACTCAATGGAGAAGGAACTACTATGGAGAGCAACTGGAAGGTGATCAAAGAAGCAATCACTTCAACATGTCATGAAGTCCTGGGTCACAAGAAGCATCGTCACAAGGAATGGATCACTGTTGATACATTGGATAAGATTCAAGAAAGGAGGAACAAGAAATCAGCAATCAATACCAGCCGAACAAGAGCAGAAAAAGCCAAGGCACAAGCTGAATATACAGAAGTAAACAAACAAGTGAAGAGAAGCATCAGAACCGACAAACGTAAATATTTGGAAGATTTAGCAACGATGGCGGAAAAGACTGCAAGAGAAGGAAACATGAGACAACTGTATAACATAACAAAGAAACTCTCTGGAAATCGCCGCAAGCCAGAACGACCAGTGAAAAGCAAGGAAGGCGAGATAATCACCAACATTGAAGAGCAACGAAACAGGTGGGTAGAACACTTCAAAGAACTCTTGAATCAGCCAGCCCCACTGAACCCACCCAACATCGAAGCAGCACCCACGGACCTCCTAATCGATGTTAGCCAACCAACAATTAAAGAGATAAGCATGGCCATCAGACAAATCAAGAGTGGCGAAGCAGCAGGACCAGAAAACATTCCAGCAGAGGCACTGAAAGCAGATGTAGCAGTAACTGCAAGGATACTCCACATTCTCTTCAATAAGATTTGGGATGAAGAACAAGTACCAACGGACTGGAAAGAAGGACTTCTGATCAAAATACTGAAGAAATGCGATCTCAGCAACTGTGATAACTACAGGGTCATCACTCTTTTCTCAATACCAGGAAAAGTCTTCAACAGGGTATTGTTAAACAGAATGAAGGACTGTGTAAACGCCCAGCTTCGTGACCAACAGGCAGGATTCCGTAAGGATAGACCGTGTACAGACCAAATCACAACTCTACGGATCATTGTGGAACAATCAATTGAATGGAATTCATCACTCTACATCAACTTCATTGACTACGAAAAGGCATTTGATAGGGTGGACAAAACAATACTACGGATGCTTCTTCGATACTACGGTGTGCCTCAGAAGATAGTCAATATCATACAGAATTCATATGATGGATTACACTGTAAAATCGTGCATGGAGGACAGTTGACAAAGTCGTTCGAAGTGAAGACCGGTGTCAGGCAAGGTTGCCTACTCTCACCCTTTCTCTTTCTCCTGGTGATCGACTGGTTCGTGAAGACGTCAACATCTGAAGGGAAACACGGGACGCAATGGACATCTAGGATGCAGTTGGACGATCTAGACTTCGCAGATGATCTGGCCCTTCTATCCCAAACACAACAACAAATGCAGGAGAAGACGACCAGTGTGGCAGCAGCCTCAGCAGCAATAGATCTCAATATACACAATGGGAAGAGCAAGGTTCTCCGATACAACACAGCATGTACCAATCCAATCACAATTGACGGAGAAGATTTGGAAGATATAAAAACCTTTACATATTTGGGCATTGATGAACAGGGTGGATCTGATGCGGATGTGAAGGCGCGGATCGGTAAAGCAAGAGCAGCATATTTACAACTGAGGAACGTCTGGAACTCAAAACAACTGTCTGTCAACCAACACCAAGATCAGGATTTTTAATACAAATGTCAAGACAGTTCTACTGTATGGGGCGGAAACCTGGAGAACTACGAAAGCAATCATCCAGGAAATACAGGTGTTTATTAACAGTTGTCTACGCAAAATACTTCAGATCTGTTGGCCGGACACTATTAGCAACAACGTACTGTGGGAGAGAACAAATCAGATTTTGACGGAGGAAGAAATCAGGAAGAAGTGCTGGAAGTGGATAGGTCACACATTGAGGAAAGCACCCAACTGCGTCACAAGGCAAGCCCTCACATGGAATTCTGAAGGCCAAAGGAAAAGAGGAAGACCAAAGAGCACATTACGTCGAGAAATGGAGATAGACATTATAAAATGAGCAAGAATTAGATGGAACTGGAGAGGAAGGCCCTGGACATAGTGGGGTGCAGAATGCTGGTCGGCGGCCTATGCTCCATTGGAAGTAACAGGCGTAAGGAAGTAAGTAAGTCTATTGTCCCCATTCGCGTTGTTGTTCAATGCATATCTATCAGACATTAGAAACAGTCGTTTTCACTTCTCTTGTCAACCAACCATCCAGTTTCCAAGTAGTAGAAGACAATCAGTCATCTAATATGATATTTTCCTCCCACATGGCTAAACTAGTCACAATTGAACTCATACATTCAATCTCAATATGTTACATCAAGTAACAGAGATGTTAACTAATTCAGGTATAGTATTCTTGTGTCTGATAAGCGGAATAGTTGACGGATCAATATCATAAAATTATGTTTCTAATATTCTTTGGTTTTTTGTAGGATAAACAAACACCATTACATCTTGCAGTTTCACAAAATAGACTTGAAGCAGTTGAAGCTTTATTGTTTTGTGGTGCTCCATTAGATTTGAAGGATAAAGTAAGCAACTGTAGTTTTGTTTTTTAATTTATATTTTAATTTTTACAGATGTTCTCTCCGTCCTATTCAAGATTGATCAGATGGGTGTACTTGCATCCAAGAGTGATGTTCATGTTGAAACTTAAACACCGATACCTTTCGGATTGCCGTTTGAACAGAAAGACACTGTGTTTGAGTCTCAGTGTGAACATCAACCCTGTGATGCCTGAACACCCGTCTAACGATTGCTAAATAGGATGAAACGCGCATCCTGAAATCCATTGCTAGACAAAGTCCATCTTTTCTATGAAAAAAATTTGGGAAAAATCGCTGTCTTGGCAATCCGCTCAATATCCCACATAATACTGATCGAAATTCAGTGCTGAATATTAACAACGAAATAACTCGATCCTTTTCTAATGATGATATTTGTACGCGGATTGTAGACACGTTGGGCAGTAGACTTAAGATTGTAGTGTACTGTGTGAAGCAAGTGATAAGAAGCTGCTGACTGAGATTATCTCAGCCAGATTCGATTATAAACCTTAGGATACTCATCCGTGATATTTCAAACAGTAGCATAGATGTTATAACCAAGTTATTTTCATAACAACTAACATCTTGTTAGATTGAGTTATTTGAACTAATCGTTTACCAATATAGTCAAGCGTCCATCTACTGTTGGTAGGGAAAAAAACACTACTGGTTATTACTCAACGACATTAGCTGTAAACATCTCGCTCATATGGAAGTTCACTTCTTATACGAGCAGCTTTGATGGGAGATGATAATATTACTGACAGAGAAACCGAGAAAATATACTTTGAATAATAAGACTTGTACTTATTGGTATTTTACTAATCAATGAGTGATGTCTTCGCTGAATATCAGCAGTCGTTATGAACCCTCTATCAGTTAATCAATTCTTCTCAAAGTAAGTCTCCACCATCTCAAAGTCCCAATCACATAAATGCTTCGATTCAAGTTGTCAGTACATTGAAATGAATGAAATAGATGATAGGAACTGCTAATGATCCTGAACCATGTTATCCAACGTCTTGAATTATTGATCACAATAATCTACATGAGCCATTATAAAACAGACTTACTTACTTACTTACGCCTGTTACTCCCAATGGAGCATAGGTCTCCAAGCCATTGTCATGGGCCTTCTTTTCTAGTTCTATTCAATTCTTGTTCATTCTCCTCTTTTCTGTTTGTATTTTTCGGCGTAATTTTTTCTTTGGTCTTCGTCTTCTCCTTGAGGATTCCAAGTGATGAGGGTTTGCCTTATGACGTAATTCGGTACTTTCCTCAAATCATAGAATAGACCGACAGTATATAATATTATCGATTAAAAATATGCCTTGGTTTATCTGCCTCTAGATCCCAACTTCTTAATTAACATTAAACGTATATTTTTTTCTTCTAGGATAAGCAAACTCCATTGATGATTGCTGCCAAATCAAATTACACTGCATTAGTTGATATGATAATACGTGCTGATCGATGGAATAAAACTTATCCGGTAAGAGAGAGAGAAAGAGAAGCAAAGAGTATTGGAAGATCCTCTTAATTACGTAATTCTGTTTTTATAGTTCAATCGGTGTTATATTGTAATGTTATTTCTTTTTTTTATTTCATTTTAACTAAGGTAAGTAACTGAGCTGTTGTGCAATATTTTTGAAGTCATAGGGATGGTGAATACGGTAAAATGTAAACAATGACATGTGATTGTTCAGTATGTTTTATTTTAAGCAAAGATGGATGCAGGTAGATCCAGCTGACGAGTCTCAAATAAGATGAAACGCACGTCCTGGATTCCACTGCTAATCACTATCCATCTTTGCTTAAAATGACAAGTATATTTTATTGTTTATCTATATCCTATAACTGAATGAGATTCAGGTAGACTGAAATGGATGGATGATTAGAGTAGTTTGTTGATTTCAACAACACTAAAATTGATGTAAGCCGAGTTCACATATATGAATTGACGAACCGTTAGCGTGCAATGAATCTTCATCGAACGAGGTGTTTGGAGCATATATTATAGATATCTAATCATCCCTTACCTCTATGTGCGGTATTGCTTCGTGTGAAAACTGCCTGGCGGAAAGATAATGGACTGTTAAACTAACATATGTTGTCATTCGATGAAATCATGGTCTGTTAATCTGAATCGAGTAGGTAAACTATTTGATTGGAGTCATTACGATTATCATAAGTGCGGAACACAGTTCAAAACTGGTCTCAATGGCAAATCTCTTCACTGAACAACACATTCTTGATATTTACATAATTCAATGAATGTTTTCCGTTTATCCAAAAATCACAGTTTACATCATGAAATGAGGAAAAAGTTATAGACCATAAAGCACTGGAAAGTTTTTTCCACCTTTGTACAGAACATTTAGATTAAACTCCGGGCGCAAAACCTAAATGCTCAGGGTTTACTCCCACAGTAAATTAGTGGGTGTACGCATTTCCCTCCAGGTTTTCACTGATTATCTAAGGTCATTTCAGGATGTAAACTGTAAAATTCATTGATTTTCACAAATATTTCATGTACCTAAATAAATGGTTGCTCTGGTTGTCAGAAAGGGCATCGGCCTCGTGACTTCCGAAAGAACTCGGATTTTATCATGAGGCGTCATAACTCTTCTAAATGAAGACCTTCTGACTCCCAGGGCAGAGTTTAAAAAGTTTTGAATAATTTTTTTCTGGTCAGCGTTTTTTAGCGAATTAGTTTTCTACGAGATGGGGTCACTAACCCCATGCCCAACCTCCCTCCTTTATCCCGGCTTGGGATCGGCAGTGGCCTCCGGAAGGACCCCAGGCGGAGTTTTCCACAAATGTACCTGACTATTATTATATAAGTCAATTCTAAAAAAATTTCAATCTCAGATTGACTTTCAACTTTGGAATACAAATACATCCAGCTGACAAGCCCCCATGTAGGATGTAAAGTACATTCTGGATTTCATTGCCAATCATATTCCATCTGTACTATATAAGTACGATTACCTACGTACTTACGCCTGTTACTCCTCGTGAAAGAGCATAGGCCGCTGCATACGATAGTTACATTTCAAATAAATATCTATTCAGCTAATTATTAGTTGATTTTCTTACTTAATTCATATTTCTTTCTCTCTTTTCTTCCCTTTATTTTTCCTACTTTTTCTCGGATCATAATCAATTAGGTTAATGCTCAAAAATTGATTGATGAAATTCTACAAACACAACAAACCAAATATGTAACCACAAGAATTTTAGACAAAAAACAAAATAACACACACAGGATACAAAAAGTAAGTAATCAATAAATTGATTAAGTTAATTGATTGATCATAAAACTTAAAGTAAACATGATCGATAAGATTTGATCTGCATTGAGAAGGATCTGATATATATATATGACATTGATCAACATTCAGTGATCAGTCAGGTGTAAATACATCTTAGTCCTATAGGAAGTCAATTGCGATCCGGATAGGTTAGTGTTAATGTCTCTGATTGTGAAGCTGAATGACACGGGATCGAATCTGTCAGGGAACATCAGTTTCCTTAAGATTATAAATTTACCTTGTTGACGAGTGTGATGCAGCACGACACCTAGTTCCAGAGTTTCTTGTTGACTAACTCCAACCACCAACTTATCTCAACATAGTGCATGCAATGTCGAGTCACTTAGATTAGTGATCACATTGCAATTTGGTCGATAGTATTCGATTTGCACTAAGAAGGGCCTGACATACATAACATTGACCACTATCCATTGATCAATCAATTGTAAGTACTTGGAGAAAATCCTTTTGATCCCCTTTTTGGAAGGACCACCGTTTTTCTCAATGCGATTAGTGGATATTTCAGTACAATGCCATTAATTATTTGATGAGTTCAAAACCGCCAGCTTTACTGTAAATCAAGGTTATTCAGGATGTGAACTAATTAATTTCTGAAATTACGAATTGATCTAAGTAATATGATCACGTGATATTATGGACTAATTAAAGTCCTGGAATAGGATGAAACAGCCGTCCAGTGCTTCCAGGTTTTCAATAGTAGTCTAATATCAACCGGTTCATGATCTCGATCAAAAATATAATAATCTCCACAACCGTATAATGAAAGTTGAATTTTTACTGGCAATGGGATCTGGGATACACGTCTCATCTGACTTGAGACTTACCATTCGGATATGCTGGCATATCAGTCTTCATTTCTATATTTCAAATGGCTAACCACTAAAATGAGGAAGCTTAGTTTATTTGAGTTAAACCGATCAGGTAACTACTATATACTCATTTATCTAAACGTTTTAGCCCCCCCCCCTTAAAAAGTAAGACTTCAGTGGTTCATATCTCATCCTTTATAATATAAAGCAATTCCTTGAATAATTTTGTAAATTTCCAGTTTCATAGTTTCTGATCGACACAATGTATCCTCTTTCCCCGTCGGAAAATAAATCCAACTTCTCAGAGTTAACAGAAGGTGTTAAACTCTTTAGTGAACTAGACAAAGATGATGAATCTGTTGAAAAGAATGTGAATCATGATCGAATAATGTGACTAGGATTTAAGTTACATAGAATTTTACTATTTTCCTGATTCCCTAATACGGTACTAACGAGGATTACTTATGAATTCCAGCAATTGATTGATCTTTATTACAAGACGAATCAATGCTTTCTAGTTGTTGATAAGAACGTCTCATTATGGTCATTCTGTGATGTTAACTTGAAACGACAAAATCTATCTAAACTCATTACACTAATGATAATCATTTACTTAGTAGTGACTAATTTCAAGAAATAATCCCTGTAGTTCTAATAAGAATCCATGATCAATGAAGTTTGACTCTTTTGAGTATGATCCAGTAGCCAACCAATGAGACTAAAAGATGATTGTATCAAATTACAGATTACTTAAAGTTTGAAATCTAATCTATTGCATGACAAATTATTGGTCTAAATGTCAAGCGCTCATCATAGAACTTCAGTGTCTAAAGTTCTAACATTGATTAGTTAGCGGATTGATACTGCTATGGAATACCATATCAAGATGAAAGGTTTGTCCAGTGTGATTATTGGGTTTTACTCGTTGTTATGTCCCGATAAACATAATGAATGGTAACTTCTGGGATCTATTGATGGATCAATACTAAACGTATATTTCTATTGTATAATTATTGAGTAACTAAACTATGTATATTCATTTTCCTCTTATTATAAGCTTTATTTTGACCCATAAACTATTATTATACGATTTACCCTGTTTATCAATGAGTACCTTCCTCATTCATAGCCACATTTGGCTAAATCTTGTGCAAATGTTGTTTCCTATTTTATTGCTACGATGTGGTCTGTATGGTTGGTATATAAACCCAGTCTGTTTAAGAAAAAAAAGATTCATATTGCAGAGACTGAGATTGGTGTTCTGGACTTAACTGACTGGGCTAAGTAGGAAACAGGACCGATAAGGACTCGGAAGTGCTCGCACGTGTTTTATGTATCCTTGGTCCGATCGATAATTCACTGCTCTCTAATCAGTGGTCACAAGTTATAACACTAATCAACATCAGTTCATGATGTACACAATAAAATTTAACAATCTCTATCCATTCACACATTTATCCATCTATCTATCCTTTCACATTTCATAAGAATAAACTATCTTTTTATCAATTCTTTCTATTCACACATTAATAGATATTATCAAATGATCGAAAACACTTATTCAATGATAATACTGGTAATCATAATAATAATAATAAGAATAATGATAGTACTGAAGATTCAGAAAGTAGTCGTACATATGTTGGACAACATCACGATTACCATCATCATCATCTTACTACTGATAATGATGCGAATTCAATCATTCCCAATGATAATGATCCTAATGATGTGATGATGATTGAATTTATTGATCCATTTAAACAATTACAATTAGAAGAGAACAATGAACAAATTAATGAAATACAATTAATAGTAGATCATCGTTCAAGAACTACAGCTAGTTCTGAATCAGGTAGTGAATTATCATTAGGTTATGAAGCAAGTCGTGCATGGAATAGATCAGATCAAAGACAATATCAAACTAATCATGATCAATTGAATAATTCATTTAGTCTATCACAAATTAGTTTGAATCGTGATTTAACCGAATCAAATTTTAATCAAGAACATTATGATAATGACGATGATTATCATCAACGAAAACATGAAAGTCTTAATAATTTATCATGTCAAATTCAAGGTGATGAGATTTATTTACCAAATGGTGAGACAATATTTCGTATTACAGATACATTATTAGCACAATCCAGTAAGAATATGCGTTTATTGAATGGATATGGTTTGAATTTAACACATCCATTCACATTTAGAGCACCATGTCAAGTGAGTGATTCTTTCATTCCTTCTTTTTTCTGATGTTTCTGTTAAAAGAAGATAGATTAATAAGAGTGATGTTTAAGATGGTGTAGGTTAACAAGAATCAATCAACATCATTTTAACATTTTATTTTAACACATAGATATTGGTACAACGAAGCAGCAAATACATATGCGCCACATAAATCTCATTCGATACGTGTGAGGGCTGTGATACTGCCCGGGTGCCCAAACCGAAGCAGGTGGTTTTCTTAGGAGGCCACACCCCGAGCCTTTGACCTAAAGGTCTAACCCACAAGGCAGTAAAGCATCGTAAGAAGATGCAGTCCCATGGAAACCGGTGACCAACAATTGGTTCATATGCCATTTGTTCCTTCAGGATACTGGAGCCCATGTACACCATTGGTTTGGAATCTGGTTAAAGCGCCGGACATTCGTTTTTTGTTCTCTCATTTTCGTAAACAACACCCCCGCCACGAGATGACAATGAGTAGGACTTCCCTGGCAGAGGCTGTACACGCATGGCCATGTGAGAGCATTTCGATAGGGAGAGCGGACTCTCTCCACTCTCATACGTACCAGGGCATTTGGGGGCACATCATTTTTACATTTTGTTTTAACACATAGATATTGGTAGAAGGAGGCACCGATTACATCAAGATCTACAGGACAAGCTGTGAACCACATGTGGAGAAATTCCGAGGTTTATACTGATGATATTGTTCATAAGAATGATGAAAGCTCTATGGCCAAACCATCCAGCTTAAAGAACAAAACTCAATCAAAGAGAGTGATGTTTGTTTAATGGACTAGTTTTATATCTTAAACGATTAATTTGAATTATACAATTATTTCGGAGTTGAAAATATTGATCATAGAAACACTTATTATAAACGTGTATACAAAGAACAATCAAGGTATTAGGATAATTATGATGGTGTTAAATGATCGATGTTATTCGATAGGAGAACCTGTTTAGCTTTGGTTTCATATTAGTTGATACTTGCTAGCATAATGAGACTGAAACATTCAGGACTATATAAACGTAGTATTGATCAGTCAATGCAAATATCTTAGTCTCCCAGAGAAGCTGTGAAATATAGAGTGAAACGAGTCCGAATCACTCAGGCAGTATCAACTCCCTATAGACTGAGGAAGCATACCTTACTGATGAATATCAAATGGCATGAAACCCAATTTAAAAGTATCTTATCGATTGCCTTCGATTACCATTTTATAGCGTTATTTAGACTAGTGGCTACATCAAAACCTGATCGATAGAATTCGATCAGCACCTAGAAAGGAATTGATATATATGATTGACGTCCAGTGATCAGTCAATTGTAAAAGCTTTTATCTTTCGTTTGGAGTTCAAGTGTAGAGAAGATCTCTTGTAACAAGGTACTATGAATCGACTAAAATTAAAATCAAGCGATCAAACACCCCAAAAACTCATCAGTTTATCGATAGTGTAGTGAACAAGAACACATGTGGAGGTACAATCGAATGTATTTGAACGCCAAATTACAGAATATCTCACTAAGATCTGAGAACCATACAGTAAATACTTCATTTGCAAAACGTCAGTCAGTTGTCTCAGACTTGACTGTCTCAGATTTCACTGTTCATGCAATTTCATATCAATTACTTTCCATTCTCATTCTTTTCTTCTCGATCTTCTACTGAAATACATTTTATTTATGACTATCATATGTACTACTTATGTAAATATAAGTAGCTTACATCATAATTTCAAAATTTCATTTTTTAGGATTATGCTGATGATATGAATGTTCTATTCTATGAATATTCACATCGATATGCAAAAACATCGGATTGGAAAAATTTAGCAAAATTTTGGGGATTCACATTAGACGATATAACTGCTATTGAATATCAAGATATTGGTAAGTTGAATTCATCACAATATTTTAGTTACTTGATAGTTTATGTATAATCATAGGGAATTACTTACTTACCTACGCCAGTTACCCCTCGCGGAGGAACATAAGCTGCCCACTAGAATTGTAGATTGTCAGTTTTTTTTGGAATAATGTCTAACACTACTTATACAATCAATGGTGGTTGAAACAATGAAGTATAGAGTGTGTGCATCACTTTGAAATCAATTCTGAGTGATGACACTGTTGGGTCGGCTTAGAAAAAGGGCGATGAAGCCTCTAGTGACTCTAAATGTGATGAACAGATTCCATCTAATCAGAACCTAATAGAACCATCTAGAATATCAAGATGACATGCTATGATTGGACGATGACATAACTTGCCTCCTTGTGGATTGGATGAATTATAGTGATGTTATAGCCAATACTAATAACCATAAATACCCATGTTTTTCTGTACATTTTTAATTCTTACTAAATAATCACTTTCTCTGCTTCTTCTGTCTTCTGGTTTGTGACTCTAGAGTTCTATACATTCGAGTGCGGTTAGTTGTACACCATATTCTGTATCTTAATACATTGATTAAGATCATCATGTTGATCCAAATCAGATAATTTGTACCTACCAACACAACTTAATTTGACAATCAGTACATTTGTAAACTGATGTTATGAGATAGTTTCACGGCCCATAGTTCTCTCTCAATCTACTCCGACATCAATAAACATAGCGTCTCGAGATGTGGAGTGGATTGGAAGACATAAGTCTTGTTCCAACTGTCTCAATCGAAGATTCACTTGTACATCAGAAAGTATGTGTAGATAACCCTCTGGTGAAAATTATACTCAAGGGTTCAAACAATCATTTTATAAAGGAACCGAGAAATGCTCAAAACTACTGGCTTCTAGAATTACGTCATAACAATGTAATAATCATGTGCTTACAAGTAAATAAGTTCTGGGATTGACTTCAGGAGTTCTAATGAGAATCCATGATAAGTAGATTTTAATCACAACTGATTGATCACTGGGTGGTGATCAATGTTATGTGTGTCAAGTCCTTATTTAGTGCAGATTCAATGCCATCGATCATGTTGCAATGTGGCCACCAGTCTAGGTGACTCGACATTGCGGGCACTATATATTGAGATTAGATGGTGGTTAGAAGTAGTTGATAGGGAACCCTGGACTAGGATTTCTTGCTGCTTAGCACTCGTCGGCAAAGTGTACCTGTAATCTTGAGGGAGCTGGTGCTCCCTGGAAGACTCGATCTCGTGTCACCCAGCTTCACAGTCGGAGACGTTACCACTGAGCTATCCGAGCCGCGACTAACCTCCTGTAGGACTGAGATGTAATCACAATTGATTGATCATTGGGTGGTGATCTATGTCATGTCAGGCATAAAAAGACAAACAAAAATCTCACCAATTGCAATCAATGATATTTAGGACATAACAAATCACTGAATTAGAACTCAATACTTTTGAATTGGGACATTTATCATAAAGCCTAAAAGTCATGAGTTCGATCTCTAACGAAGGATATAACCGGGGATGTGTATTATCGTGAAATCCCAATATTGAAATACACTCCGATCGCGGTATAAGATAACAGGTCTTGGATTCTGGCGTGAAATTCCCTCCATCCATTTGGCTAAATAGAGTTTTGGCATTATAGCTAATGTCAATTCATGATGAAAACCTTAAATTTAATTCGTAACCTTAACTATCAATTGTAAATGAGAATTGTAATTCCTTACACACTGATTTATAATCCTCATTTGGTTCTAGTTACTAGGTGGACACTCTCAAGGTCAGTCTGGCATCGCTGAAAGATCGTGCATGCATTATAGTCACATCTTGGAATACTTCATAACTTTTATCTTTATCTAATTAATTGTACCTTCTTTTTTTACTTTTTATTTAGGTAAAAATTCTTATAAAGAACATACTTATCGATTATTGAATATATGGTTACATGGTATTAATGATAATCAATCACCATTGAATGAATTATATTTAGCTTTAACTACAATTGGACGTAAACGAATTGTGGAACAATTACGTCGACGTATTAAAACATTAAATAAACTAAATAATAAACATAAATGTAAACTATATTAAGAAATATATACATTCGTATACACTAGTAACTAACCACCCATCCACCCACCAACACACACACACATAGACAGAGATATACACGTACATCATGTGTAAAATTTCATTTTATTGTCTTTATTTTGTTTGATTACACTTTACAATTATGTTATTTGTAACCTCCTCTGTATATCCTTCTTTATTATGTAATCAGAGTATCTAAACACACACACCCACACACACATGCACATAATGAGAAATATTCATTCATCGTAAGTATAATGGTTTCAATAAATACCCCAGGGTAATCATCTCCCCATCATATTATCTAACTCTGTTATTTATAATAATATGAGGTGTTCTCTAGTTACAATGATTCTAAAAACTGTTCATTTGTAGTTCATGTGTATTTTACTTACTTACTTGTGCCTGTTACCCCTCATGGAGGAGCATAGACCATACATCATTAATCTCCATCCAACTCTGTACTGGACAATCCTTTCTATTCATCATTCTGATGTTTACTTAAAATTCTCGATGTAGTGTATGTTTCAGCTTTTCTCTTTTTCATTTCCCTTCAAGATTCGAAATTATCTGGTAGTTGATTTATTCTCTCCCACAATAGGCTGTTACTGATTGTACCCAACCAAAAGATTTGTTGTGTATCCGAGAAAGAGAAAAAAAGGACTTCAATTTAGGTTTTCGTTTTATCTTTTCTTTTTTATGTTGATTTCTGTCACCCATAATTACTCTTTTGTACACCCTTATACACACTGTGTTCTGTCGGAATTGGGATAGGGGGTCAGGTGTAGTAATATTCATAATAGAAGGATCACTGAAATATTATTACTAACATATAAACACATATTCAGTCATAGATACTCAGTTAGTTCACCTCTGACGCTTCTCGTTGCTAATTTTCTCCTCCTTGCCAAGCATTTTCATTTGTGTTTGATTTATGCTTATCTATTTTCAATACCACCCCCCTTCGTACATTGTTTGACACATTCCTTTATTTATTTTTTGTACAGAATGGAAAAAAAAGAAAAAAATTCTAAATTGTAAACAATAAATTTGATGAAAGAAAAAAATGTAGAGAAAAATTGGTTGCTAACTATTTACGTTTCGTTATATCAGAAGGGGTTTTGTCGATATTATAGTAATTTTAATAGTTGAGATGATGAGTCAATTGAAGCTAGACCACCATAGAAAACCTGGCATCACTGAATGGACGTTCCGTCCTATTGTGGAACTCCCCAGTGGCAGTGAGCATTCACGATCCCACCTTGCCAGATTGGAACCCAGGACCTATCATTCTCGCGTGCGAACGCCTATCTTTTTGATCAACACATGTTCACTAGTGACCGGCTTCAAGAGGTACTTCCTGGAGTTCTAATGAGAAGGAGTAACCAGTGGAGTTCAGCCGAATCTGTTGAGATAGTAACTTACTGAAGACAATGGTACATCTGTCGTTCAATTACGTGCATTAGTTGAAGTTAGATACTAACACCGTTAGATGTCAGCTCAGTGATTTAGATGTTAAGCGTTTGCACGCAAAACTTATCGATCCTGGGTTTGAATCTCGTGAGTCGGGATTATGGATGAACACTATTGATAAGTCCCATACTAAGATGAAACGGCCGTCTAGTGCTTCCACGTTTTCCATGATAGTTTAGCTTCAATTTATTCACAGAGAGAAAAACATTGCCTCGAAAAAGTTGTTGCTATGTTACTTTTGTTCATTCTAGCAAATGTTTTTTTTCTTTATTTTGAAAGTCTAACATACTTAGATAATTCACATACAAACTAGTAAACAAAAATGATTAGATAACCTGATCAATATCATGAAAGATAAAGATCTCAATGATTTAGGTCAAGGTTATTCATTATTAACTAATGTGTACCATAACTATATACAAAAGATTAGATTGACGCCAAGTATAACCTCTACACATGATTACATAATTATGGAATGACATTCTGTCATTGAGAACCATCTGTAGTCTAAACTAATTGCTTCTTTACATAATAAGTTTATGTGTTTATTTGAACTTTGATTTTAAACAATGAAAGAATCTACATAACTGGATAGTTGAATTATCATGTCACATTAATTAGACAAGTTGGCACACTCCACACCGATCGACAGCATCAAAGAATGAAGTTTGTAGTTTAAAGGACTAGTTTTATTGATCAATTCGTGTCAATATCTTAGTTACACAGAAGATCACTAGGATACTACGATAGAACAATGGTAACATTTGAGAACATGCAAGTGTTTAAGCCAAATGAAAAATCTATCTTACTTTTTGAGTGCTGTTTACCATGAGAAATATATAAAGATGAATCACTTTCAGTTCATTTGAACTACCGATTAATCAGAATTTAATATTTTGTCCATTACTAGTCATATTCTATCGATTCTGTGAAAGATTGCATCATGATAGCTGTAGTGATCTATATGTGATACATATATGTTAGTCAAGACTGATCAAATTTCAATTAAATAATCAAAAATGAAATTAACTAAACTATTATATATTAAAAACTCTGCCTGGAACCCCTCTGAGGATACTGCCGGTTCTAAACCCGGATAAGAGAGGAGGGTTGTGCATGAGGTCAGCGACCCCATTCCGTAGAAAACTACCTCGCTAAAAGAATGCTAATCTGAAAAAAATAATTCAAACCATTTAACCTCTGTCCTGGGAGTCAGAGGGTCTTCATTTAGAAGAGTTATGACGTCTCATGATGAAATTCGAGTTTATTTCGGAAGTTAGGGGACTGCTGACTCTTCTGAAAACCAAAGCAACCATTCATTTAGGTACATGGAATGTTCGTACAATGTGAGAGACCGGGAGAGTTATCCAAATTGTTGCATTATAAATTAAACTACTTGCGTGTAGTTTGTTTAGTATATGAGTAAACAATTTTAAACATTACTCTTTCAGATTACAAATATGACATTTTCCATATGCACTTAGATATTTTGATGAAGTATTGTTCTCTGAGCTGGATGGTTTGGTAGTGGAGCTTTCATCGTTCTTCTGAACGACATCATCAGCACAAACTTAAGGTAGAAATGCGGTGTTCGAATTTCTTCACATATGGTTCACAGATTGTCCTGTACACCTCAATGTTGATTGGTTCTTGTTAACATTAAACCTGTCATTGTTTACTTTTTTGTTTTGGTTGTATCTCTTATTGGTTTGATATTTGTTCCTTTGTTTGTGACAGCCGCACGCATCTTCAGAAACAAAGTCAAGTCCAGAAATCAACAAGAGGATCACCCCACTATACATAAAAAACATATCAGAAACTACAAGGAGACTGCAGAAATTCTTCAGAATAGATGTTGCACACAAACTAACAATGGTCTAACGCCTAACCTCAATCTTAATCAAAAACCTAAAAATCTCCACAACCTCATACTGATAATTACCATATGCTCACTAGGGGCTAGCTTCGTGAGGGAATTCTGCGAATTCTACTGAGAAGTGGTCACCAGTAGGGCTAATTCGTGTCGGTTAGATACAAATATCTACCTCAGTACAATGGAAGATGGTCGCGCATCTTGGTGGATTAGTTGAGGTTAGGCATTAACACCATTGGATACCGGCTGGCTCAGTGGTGCAGTAGGTTAAGTGTTCGCACGCGAAACTGAAAGTTCTGGGTTGGAATCCCACGAGCGGAATCGTGTATGCGCACACCTGAGGAGTTTCACAATAGGACAAAACGGTCGTGCAGTACTTCCAGGTTTTACATGGTGGTCTAGCTTCAATCATTTCACGAACTTAATTTAAAACTTAATAATATTTATAATGTTGGTAAGCACAACAAACAAATGATAATCTCAGGTGACATTAGAGCCATGAATTCAGCAAAGTTGTGTTAAGTTGATTAGTGTTTCTTTCTTGACACATAAATCGGGTTCGAGTTTTTTATTTCTACCCCATAGTAAAACCAAAGAGACGCTCTATTTAGTTTAGTTTACTAAAAATTTTGAAGGATTAGGAAATGTCAATGGTATACCTGATATCAGTTAAATACTGAGCTATTACACTATTTAGAACCGTTGAGAATCACAGTCTCAAATTCTTCGGAACGTAGTCGGAAATGTGAATATGTACTCTTTCTATTCTTTCAATGTGTGTGCTGGTAAATTCAGTTGAAGTTACTGAGAATAGAGAACCTATCGATTTTTGTGTGAGCAGTTTATTTCCGATAGTTTCATCAGACTTGCTGCTGAATAACCAGCTTATATCGCTACATTTATCATGTGGTTGTTTATTCCAGCGATTCCATCTCCTTTGAAAGGCAGATATAAAATGTAAATTTTCTTTTCCACCGCATCGTATTTAACAAGTAAGTTAGATTTGGCATACTTTTCGATGAATTTCAACGGGTATACACTTTCATGTAGACAGAGATTAATGAGGGCAAGTTCCTCATCGACTTCATGTTCCATAGTAAAATGTATATCGTTACATACTTTGTTAAACAGATTGATTAGGTACATAGAATTCTTCCGATTGTTTATAGATAAGAAATGTTTCACTTTCACTAGTGACGGCAGGTGTGACGATGAACTAAATTCCCTTGACATCTTATTATGTTGATAGAATGACATCTCGTTAAAAATAATCATGTATAAAAAAACACTCCTTTGCTTGCCAACATACAAACTTGTGTAATTTAACAATCACCAGCTAAAGGAGAAATCTGGTTCAATTACTCACAAATAGAACAAATACAATCTGCTCAGATAAAACCATAATGAAGGAGTTGGAGTTTGTACATAACATACTAATAGAGAACAGCTATCTGAGAAGTACATCTATGTGAAATCCTCGTTTCTTAAAACTACCATTTGAAAAGGATGTGGTTTGTATTATCCTGCATAATAGATTAGCGAGGGAAATTCAACTACTCCTGTAGAGATAGCTATATTGTATGTCCTAACAGGGAACTTATCCAACGAATGAATAATTGATTTCCAACTTAAACTTCAAACGGGTAGAAAATGACAATACGCATCTCTAACTTGGTACATCTAGCTTATAGTCGTCATATAGTAAATTAAAAATCGTTTCATAATCGGGTTCGATCTCATCACTTTTGACTTGATCCTGAATAACTGATATTTTTTTTAATATCAGAATGTGTTTGGTGGAGAATTTTAGAAATTTTCACAGATTGAAATCATGAGTCAGTTGAAGCTAGACCACCATTGAAAACCTAGAAGCACTGGATGGCCGTTTTGTCCTAGTATGGGACTCCCCAACAGCGCGCATCCATGACCCCGCACCACTCGGGGCTCGAACCCAGGACCTACTGGCCTCGCGCGCGAGCACTTAACCATCAGACCACTGAGCCGGCATCGAACGGTGTTAATGTCTAACTTCAACCAATCCACGAAATAGCGCTACCGTACACCATTGTCTTCAGTGAGTTCCTATCTCACAACAGACCTGGTTGAACTCTACTGGTAACGACTTCTCACTAGAACTCCAGAAGTGTTTCCTGAAGTCAGTCACTAGTAAGCAGGTGATTATTATTATCAGAATGTGTTATGATGTGAAGCATTCCGATCAACTTACATATAAACTATGTATATCTGAAATATACAATTCATACAATAGAATCTGATATTATTCTCTGAACTCAACATTAGGTTTTGAATAAGAAGCTACTATATTAAGAAACAATAAGAATTCAAAGTTGATATAAAGCTTCTAATACTAGTTGATGTGCCATTAATTTAACATAGGAACAAGGTGATACAAGTCAGTATTTTGATTACCAATTTATTACCTGACAACTAATATGAGTAGTAATCAAACGTTTCAGTAATTCTAATTTTAGTATCTATTTATTTATATTTCACATAACTTTCTATGTTGAACTGTTGGCTAGATCTTATCACTACAATTAATACACTTGTTTACTTTCTATTAATTTATACTAATTGCTTACTATTTTGTAACTACATATATGATTGAATTGTGATGAATAATTGACAAATGAACATAAGTTTAAATAGTAAAATTGAAATAAAACATTCCGATGTATCAAAGTGATTCTGTATTAGATCTACTTGTTTGTATTCTTAGATATTTTAATGCTGATAGAGAAGATTTGTAGCTTAGATGGATGAACTGGATGGTTTGATCGTGAAGATTTCATCATTCTACTGAATGATATCATCAGTACAAACTCCAGGTAGAAGTGAAATGTTCGAATTTCTCCATATGTGGTTCACAGCTTGTTATGTACACCTCAATGTTGATTACTACAGAACAACAGCTGGGAAACGCATATGAATAAATCCGAAAACTTCACTTCTATCTGAAGTTTATGCTAATGATGTCGTTTAGAAGAACGATGAAATCTCCACGACCAAATCATCCAGTTCACGGATCAAAACTTCATCAAAATCATTCACCTGAGCTACAAATCTTCTCCACCATTTACAAAATTTCTGACTTATCCTCCTCCTCCTCCTCTTATTTCTTCTATGTTGTTGAATTCCATCTTCAAATAATCTAAAACCTATTCTTACACAATTATTGTTCTACCAATTTCTTCGATCATCAATATCAATTGATTCATCTCTTAATATTACTACACTTTAATACATGTCAGTATTTGTTAAAAGTTAATGAGAAGTTATAAAACCTAATTCATATGATAGAAAGAAAAGTCCATTTTCAATTTGATTTATTCATTATAAGTTTTGGTTCAAAATTACTTCCATTCTGATTCAATGTGATGATTATTCAGTGAAGTATTTGCTTTCTTTCTTTTCTCCTATGATATTCTATCATGTATAATATGCCAGATATTCTTGTATTCAATAGACATGAACTATGCTCAGTCTGTGATTTCATCCTAATTATTAATCAAAATGGGTATATGAATCAATATATAAGTGGGTGTATTTTCTATTAGAATCATTGTCATCATCGTCGTCGTCGTCGTCGTGTTTTGGAGGTTAATAAATCATCACTTATACCAGTCTTTGTATTCTTACTTTTCGCGTCATTGGAATTGTAAAGGTCCTTCGTTCCAAGTATAAATGATAAGTGTTTCCGACATAACAATCAACGACGACCAGATATAAAAAGTAGCCAAGACAATAATCATTTAAACAACAAATTATAACACTAATGAATTCACATGATTCTGTTTCAATTATTAACAAAAGTCACACGTATCAATGGACAATAATAAAGAACCAGTTAATTAGTTATGAAATAGTTCTAATAATTCAATTCTTATAGAAATATATCCATAGTGATAATGGAAACTTCTTAATTAAACGATTCACAAGTTGAAGAATAGCCTCAGCAACAACAAAATCATTCTTCATAAATAACCAATCATATATGAGCTGAACGACCTTGGTAATACTCACATCTGATTGGACAATTGTATCAAGACAATGAAATTCATATCATTTATGAATTACGGTTATAAAATGATCAGACACAAATGATTAGTCTTATTAAATCTTGTTGAATCCTTCATTCTTCTTTTTTTTTATCATCTACTGTTTATAATTCTCTTCGATTTCATTGAATGAACATGAAGATATCAAGAATCCTTATGATATTGATTGTGGTTTTCATTAATGGTTATCAAGCGATGGATTGTGGAAGTAAGTTATGAATAACTTGATCTTTCAGTTGATTGATTGATTGATTTTGAATGGATTATACTTAGATCATCATTAGAATTCTAGAAACACTTTATAATTTCTTCATTCTTGTATCGGATATTCATAACTGAATGTATTTGTATTCTTAATGAGGCATGAAGTCAAGATCTTGATACTAAGATGTTACATTGTAAGATGAAGCAGCTATAATACAGTACTTTCCAGTGTCTAACGATTAATCAGCAATGTAAAAATCCATTCTAATTAGTAGATAGCGAGAAGATTAACCAATTCGGTTGACTAATAACTGTTCTACTTTCCATGTTGATTCTCAAAAGAGTTTTGGAATATCTATCTCATGAAATGAATCAGTAGGTTATATATAACTACTTTTGTTAGTGACTTGAGTAGTTGATGAGAATTTGTTGATTAGAAGAGACTGATCAATTGCAGTCGTAAACATCAATGGAAAGATTCAAGTAAACAATACCAAATGAATTTAAACTTCACTCCATTGCATAAGTAAATGATTATCAGGACTCATTGGCTTAGTGGATAATATGATGGCGTTTGAAGAGAACGGCGCTGGGTTCGAGTCTCAAAGTAGACATCAACTCTGAGATGTAAATATATCTTAGTTGAGCAGTCCCAATTAGGACGAAATATGCATCTTAGTTTCCCATACTAACCACTATTCATCTTTGCTTAGAAGATAGTCTGTAGTAAGAATAATCTTCGAATCCATCAAATCTTCTGAACTCACTTGATTAAACTACTCAAATCGATCTAAATTGTAATTGTAATCTATCTATATCTGTATGTTTTACATAACTAATAAAGTTAATGAACTTGTTATAATAATGTCACTGTGAAGAAAGTTAAATGATTCCTTAGAGGAGATCTATGCTTGTTTTGACGAAATCGATGAAGTGCAAACGTGTATTGTACACAGGGAAGATTGAAAAGAAAAGTATGACAAATTGATATAATGAAGTTTTCAGATATCAATATGGTAACTCAAATGGATAGTTGATTGAATAATAAAGTAGGAAATATATATAAGTTCATAGAAGTAAATAGTATCATGAATGGAGATCAATCAATTAAAGATTAAATTAAAAATTTAATGGAAATAATATTGATTTCATTAAACTATCAATTGGAAAGGGAATGATGCGATAAAATGTGAGCAATTACTTGATTAAATATTAATTCTTTATGGGTGTATGATTCTGACGTAGGCTTTTTATAATCCTTTAAGTTACTATTTTGATATTCTACAATATTCCCTAACAAAATTCAGAGTCTTCTGATCACTGTGAGCAACAATACAAGCATGTTCGGGATGCGATACTCCCCCTCGAAATGCAAAATGTTGATTCAGGATTAGGTTGCATCGACACCAGAACTAATGATAGGGAGTGAAGTAACTGAGCGTGTCGACCGCTTCACTTATCTTGGAAATCTCATCAGCCCTTGTGGTCTAGTGTGTGACGAAATCTCAGCACGGATACAGAAGGCTAGACTAGCTTTTGCCAATTCGCGTCATTTGTGGTGTAGACGAGATATCTGTCTATCAACCAAAGGATGGGTTTATTGCACAGCAGTTCGTTCCGTCCTACTTTATGGCAGTGAAACATGGCCGATAAGAGTAGGGGATATTCGCGCCAAGAGCGCTCTTGTCACCTTCATGTCGTATTTCCCACTTGGGAGAATCTTAAATGCTATTGGTCCGTTTTGTCTTTTAGTATGCTATTTTGTAACTCTTCCCAAGGACGGTTTTGTGCTGTATATATATACGTTTTGATTTGTGTCCTTTGTTATCGTTCGTGCTTCTGGATTCTGCGGAATATACCTCCCCATTTCAAGCATCGACTTCTTCCTCCAGTTATCGGGGCCGGGATACATTGAATAACTAGCTTATTGGTCTTCGGTCACCGAGTGTTTGTTCTCATTCGCAGATTAAGTGAACTCGTAACCGCTTCAAACCTAGCATTATCCTAGCCCATATGGGTTTTATTATATATCTATATAACAATTTCCACAAGACCCCCCCTTTGTGAAAAGATTTTATTCTTCATTAAATAAATTATTCACTTATCATTTGAAACTATTTATACACATAACATGACTATCTTAAAAAGTTAAATAAAATACCATAGTAACTATCATTATTGTTGTTGTCATGTCATAGAATTTAATTCATAAGAACCTATAATTGGATACAATTTCATTTTGAATTATGATAGAAGAATAGAATTTCGAACATTATTCATTTTTTTCTCAATTTGATCTTCTTTCGTTCGTTTTCTTCTTCTTTTTCTTCTCTTTTAACGATTAAAATGACTTCATGGTCACCTGTACACCTACGATTGAATCACAAGATGAGATTATGATGTAACTAAATGGGATCACTTGTAAATGATAAACGAGATCTGTAATAATAATCATGAAGTCATTTAAGTGAGACAATCATAAAAAACATGGAAATTGTGAACAGCTGTTTCATTCCAAGATAAGACTCTTCAGTAGTGTATATCCATGACTCTGTAACAACTGGGAATTGAAGTAACGATATTAAGTCTAGTACGCAAGTGCTCTCTCTCTCTGTGTGTTTACATCATTGAAATGACACTCAGTGATGCGTAGATATAACTTTAGCTAATCCACAACACTGTGTGGTCATCTTTCATTGTGTTTGGTGGGTACCTTTCTCCACTAATCATGATTCCTCACTATAAATCCAGAGATTTCCTCTTGAAACTAGCCAATTGATCCAAAGAATTCAGTAATAATAGCTATGTACCAGATGTTATCAATAATTTCATTGCGTCTATTCTAGTATTAGAACATTTATTGAAACTTCAGTATAACTACATTCTTTGATTGATAATTCAAGGCATCTGAATAATATTTAGTTTGTCTAGTGAATATGTAGTTCCAAGGGGACTGATATTACTTGTTTAAAATGCTACTAGTAAAATGTGATTGAGTTCCAACATCATCACTGATCACTGAATAATAACAAATATTATTCACTTCAACAGAGATGGACAGTGATTAACATTGACGTCGAAGACACGTGTTCCATTCTATTTAGAAGTCGTTAACTGTATGGACGTACATTTCGATTGAATATTAAGATGTGATACATTGTACAATTAAACTTATACCTTTTATACTTCATGGAGGAGCATAGGCCTAACACCAGCACTCTATTGAACTCTGTCCCAAGCAATTCTTTCCAATTGCTATTCATCCTTTTCATGTCTGCTTCCAATTCTCAACGTAGAGTATACTCTGATTTTTCTTCTTTCTGTTTGCCATCAGGATTCCAAGTTAGTGCTTGTCACGTAATGAAGTTTAATCATTTCCGTCATGTATACCCTATCCACTTCTAACGTTTTTTTCCTAATTTCCTATTCAGTTGGAATTTGGTTTATTCTCTCCCACTGTATGTTGTTGCTGATGGTATCCGACCAACGGATATTGAGTATCTTGTGTAGACAGTTTTTTTACAAATATTTGTACCATTTTGATGATGATTGTAGTAGTAGTTCTCGAAGTTTCAATTCCGTACCAGTGGGACTGTCTTGATGTCCGTATTGAGAATTGTAACTTTGATATTGGTTGACAGATAGTTGTTTTTAGTTCTATGTGTTCCTTAACTGTAGGAATGCTGTCCTTGGCTTGCCTATCCTTACCTTGACGTCTGTATCGGATCATTCATGTTCATCGATGATACTGACAGGATACGTGGGAGATTTCACACGTTACAGAGTTTCGCCATCAAGTGTGATTGGATTGGTGTTCTCTATGTTGCACTTGAGGATCTTGCCTTTTCCATTGTGTATGTTGAAGTCTATTGATGTAGAACCTGCTGCTACACTAGTTGTGTCAGTCTGCCTTAGTTCATGTGTATGGGATAGTAGGGTCAGGTCATCTATGAAGTCCAAATCATCTAACTGCATCAAGCCTATCCACTGTATTCCGTGCTTCTCATGAGATGTCAAGGTATTCGTAGTTCAGTTAACCACTAGAACAAAGAGGAAGTGTGAGAGTAGACAATCTTATCTAATTTCTATTCTCACTTAGAATGCATTTTTTGTCAGCTGTTTTCTATGCATCACTTTGTAATATAGTCCATCGTATGAATTCCGTACAAGTATATCATAGTGTCGAAGATGTTTCCATCATATTCTCATATTACCATTGTTAAATACTCTCTCATAATCAACAAACTTGATATGAAATCATCATTACGTAACATTCACTTCACATCACATTCCAATCTAATCTAGTTCAATGTTCTAAAGTCATTCTATTTCTGATTAGTACAAAATGATCATTATTGATTAATAAATGACCTCAAATTGAAGATCAAGTTGTACTAATCATCATTTAAAAATGAATCAATTCAATTCACCTTTTAAAAGAAATTTATGTGGTTGATTGAAAATTGTTCATTATCGATTTATGTTTATTGATTAAATCATATAAATAATCTTAAAATCAATTTGTGAATCAGTAGAATGATTACAATCGATTAGGTGTTTAAGTATAGAACTCCTAACTGCTTTCCTTTCATCCTTATAGAACCAAGCTGGGCTATGTTCCTGTAGCCGAGTTGAAAGTGAGCGTTGGTTACGGTCAATATACCTTGCTCCACTGTAATCATTCTATAGATCTACAATTTGATTTTACGGGTTGTTTATATGATTCATTCAAATCTACCCAGATTTCTTCGTATCCAACTCTTAAAAATAGCTGAAACTCTTACCATCCAAGAGCTTAAACCAGAACTATGCGTACAAAAGAAATACGTCTTATCGTTATCGTTAACTTGGCCTTAATTATTTTGATTTATTGATCAGTTTATTAATAATAAGAAATTTGATGGTTACGTAACATATTGGATTGATTTAAGTTAGTGATTAATATCATTGGATACAGGCTTAGTGATCTAAAGGTTAAGTAATCATGTGTTCGACTTCGAAGGTCCTATGTTCCAGAATTTTTTAGTGTGAGATCGTAGATGTGTACTGCTAGTGAGTGCTGTACTAGAACAAAATGGCTGTCTAGTACTTCTACGTTTTCAATGGTGTTCTTTATTATTATTCACGTTTGCATCTTTCAGTAACTTTCATTTTCATGACTTCAGTCACTAATTAATCTTACTTGAATGTTCCCATTGATGTTTAGGACTATGATTGATCAGTCTCTTATTGACATATATACATATTGTACGTATTGCTTAGATATTGTCTTAATTCACAAGCATTATAAATAAAGATAGCTAATGGCTAGCAATTAAATGAAGGACGTGGGTTTCGTCTTATTTGAGACTCATTATCTGGATATCGATAAAGGACTAACCATTAAACAATCAAGTTTAACTTACTATCATACTCGAAGAAAGACTGTTGGGGGCTTTGTGATAAAGAATCCAACGTCCGCTATACTTATAAATAACAACTTTTTCACAGAGCTTCAATGTAGCAATTTTCAGTGATCATACAGACAAGAAATACGGTACATTTGTCCAATATTCTATCTCACATAATTCTGAAAATAAGATATTCAGAATGAAAATACCCATATTTATTATTTATTTCTTTTTTTAACACATCGATATTGGTACAAAGAGGCACCAAATACGTATGCGCCACACAAATCTCATTCGATATGCGTGAGGGCTGTGATACTGCCCGGGTGCCCAAACCGAAGCAGATGGTTTTCTTAGGGGGCCACACCCCGAGCCTTCGACCTGAAGGTCTGATCCACAAGGAAGTGGAGCATCGTAAGGAGATGCAGTCCCATGAAAGCCGGTGACCAACAATTGGTTCATACGCCATTTTCCCGCAGGATACTGGAGCCCATGTGCACCATTTGTTTGGAATCCGGTTAAAGCGCCGAACATTCGCTTCTCGCCCTCTCATTTTCGTAAACAACACCCCCGTCACGAGAAGGCAATGAGTAGGACTTCCCTGATAGAAGCTATATACGCGTGGCTATTTGAGAGCATTTCGAAGGGGCGAGCGAACTACCCCCACTCTCGGCCATACCAGGGCATTTGGGGGCTTTTATGCTACCGCACCACGCGGGGACTTTTGACTGCCGGGTCTCCCTCCTGAGCTGGTCCCCCCCTCCTTAGACGACTTGGACAACCCACCCTCCGACAGGTCGTCCATATCGGCGCCGTGCTTAGCGTGGACGCCTGATGAACTTGAGCACCCATATGCCAGAATCCCCGGTCCCACGAAATCCTGCACCCTGGCCTTCAAGTAGCTAGATTACAGGCGCACGCCACCACGCCCATGCTGAAATACTTATTTGTTAGCACATCATATGTTGTACCAACTTATAGGAGGTAGTATATATCGTCTCTTTTCTTTCTCTTAACATTTAAAGATATAAAAATTTCAGAAATATGATTTCTTTCGGGTGATGTTTAGTAGGATATTTTTAGATAATCAAAATTGTTTACTTATAAGTAGTTAAACGATTAAATGCGTCAAAAGTTAACAGGACCTTATGAGCTGTCAGACATTTGAATAGAAATATCATCATTTATTAAATATTTATGGATTATAACACAACTTTTGCTGAAATAACTATATTCTACATTAGGTTTAACGGTATGAAAACAGTTAAGAGAAAGTCCTTCCCCTAGATTAAATCTCTTTGACGTTCAATAGATATATACTACTTAGAGACTCCTTAATCAATACTATATATGGCGAACAGTTTCTCAAATGAGTTGAATAGTCTGGAAAAAAAATAGAATACGAGTTAACTTTCCAAAGGGATATAACAAAGCGCTCACATCCATAGAAATTTTAAAATTTGAAGAGTAGAAACAAGTCTGAGCCATGTTGGTAGTTGCAGACTATTTGGTTGGGGGTATGCGTCACTATCGTAACCAATCATTGGAGACTGTGGATGACATGGCTCAGTGTATGCACTTTCTGTCTTCCCTTACAATATGAGAATAAAATCGCTTCATAACTATCTTTCTAAGGACTAACACGATTTTGAGTTGGTAAAGAAGATTTATGACTTAACAGGATGATTCTGTTTGTGGCATTCTCTTCAAGCTGGATAGTTTATTTATAAAACATCTGCAACACCTAATTTAAACGGAGATGGCCATTACAAAATTACTTTACATATCTTTCGTCAGTATTTTTTCAATGATTATTGGTCTTCTCTCCATACTCTTTTCTGTCCTCACTTAATGATATTCTTCAGTCAATAGCGAACTATATGGTTGTTCATTATGATCCATAAAATATGGATGTACATACATACTTGCTCCTGGTACTCCTCTCAGAGGAGCATAAGCCGCCCACCAGCAATGTATCGCTAATCAATATCTAGAGAAGAGTATTCAATCAGAATATCAGTGTATATTTCTATCTCGCTAGAGGCGCCTATTTTTATCTTCAGATTATATTTCCCACTTGGAAGGATCTTCACTCTAATTGGCTCATTGCATCTTTTATTATGCTATTTTGTGACATTTCCCAAGGACCTTTCTATACTGTATATATACGCTAGAGTTGTGTTTGTTGTTATTTGTGCTTCTGGTTGTTTCTCTCACTTGCTCTCTACGTTATTTAAAAAACAACTTATCAATGGCTGATAGTGAAGTTTAGGATAAACTTTACATTCTATTTACGACCCGTCAGTTGAAGGTAAATACACCCTATTTTCGATGTTCACATTGGTACTTGAACCTAGTACTTTCCACTTCAAATGCCGAAAGTGTTATCCACTCAATAGATAAGTGAATAACATGTTGAATATTCAAAGTAAACAGTAATGGGAATACTGACATAAACATTAGCAACGGAGAGTCAATATATCTAGCCGACTTGTCGAAAATTCCACCACCAACCATTATCCGACTCTATTGATATTGTTTGTGACTCAATTTTAACATGGGTATGCTTCGAGTTCCTGTTTAGTGTTGGTGATTCACTGCTACTAGACAAGAAAACCCGTTAAGCGAAAGCTTCTCCTATTTCCATCCACAACCATTTGAACCATTTGAACATTAAATTAATCACTTAGAGGGCACATATTTCGAAAAAAAAAGACAGATCATTTACAGTCCATGAAGATGCCACAGGTATTTAGATATTGACAACACTTTAACCAGTAACACCTTCTACTATGAATTGTACCCACCAATTGAAATCAAAAATCAGAATTGAGGAGATTCAAAGATATATCTGATAGGCTATCATTATATCGAGAATCGATTGATCTAGACTGATTAACGATTGCAAGGGATTTTGATCACGGGGTTCCCATTCATGATCTAGTGCGAATGCAAGAACGACCGTTTTCAGCTAGGTGAGTTCATTAAAAAACTAATATGATCAGCATCCAGTATCAAAGACTTACAGAGATATTGATTTTGGGTACTTTTTTATCGTTACATCCATAAATGTGAATAGAAAGATCTAAATAACTAACACAAGTAATAATCGTTATATTAAAATAATCACTAATGAATATCTATTCATTATGTTCATTCTATATTTAGATGGTGATTCCTGTGATGTTGGTATTACATTCCTACATTCAACATATTGCTGTAAAGATTCTTCTGATAAACCAGCATGCTGTAAAGAATTACGGTAAAGTATTTATTTGTTGAAAAATAATTTTTGTGTATGTCTATATGTGTTTAGATTCATTTAAAAAGTGAACAAATATGAACCAAATAGTTGAATTCATAGGTTGGTTAAAGTTAGACTAACGATGGAAGACCTAGAAACACTAGACGGCTGTTCCACCCCATTATGGGACTCCTCAACAGTGAGCATCCACGATCCAACACCAAACAGACTCATACACAAGACCTTCGTACAAGTGCGCGAACGTTTAACGCCTAGATCACTGAGTCAGCATCCAGTGATGTTAATGACTAACTTCAGTCGATCCATGAATGACTGCACAACCATTCATCCCATTGTCTGAGGTAGATACCTATCTCTAACAGACACCGATTGGACTCCACTGGTCACAGCTTCGCACTACAACTCGAAGAAATCATCTTGGAGCCAGTCATTAGTGAGCACATGATGATTATGATCAGAACGAGGTTTATGGAGATTGTCTTAATTTTAATAGTTGAATTGACGAGTCGATGTAAGCTTGACCACCACTGAAAACTTTGAAACACTGGGCGGCCGTTTTTTCCTAGTATAATTTCCTCAGTAGTGTGCATTCACAATCCCACGTCAAGAGGACTCGAACCGAGAACCTTCGGCCTCACTCGGGAACGCTTAAATTCTAGACTACTGATATGGCATCTAATAATCCCATACTAGGACGAAACGGTCGTCCAGTGCTTCCAGGTTTTCCATGGTGGTCTAGCTTTAATCGACTCATGAATGCAACCATTAAAGATTAGTACAATATCCACAAAACCCCTTTCCTGAATATATGAACCTGACTTATTGTTATCATGAAAATGAATTTATACTCTTTCCTTGAACATACTACTGAGATCTGGTTAATAGTCGAGTTTATTAATTTATCCAATAATAGGTTGGATACAAACTATCAGTATCGAGATTCGTGAAAACAACCAATTAAACAGTATGACAATAATCTACACGATGACAGCTCCATATAGATATGAAGGTATTATGTTGATAACAAGTTATGAAAGTTTAGTATTCGAGCGACTATATGATGGTTAGTAGTCAATATTCAGGAATCCTGCACTAGAAAAAAGACGACTGTTTAATAATTGAACCAGAATAATATGAATCTGTTTGATTTCATGAGTTTTCATTAGTAGTTTACTGAACTTGGCAAAGACTAATAATCAGTCACAGTTGACTGATCACTGGGTGGTGATCATTGCAACATGGTCGATAGCATTTGATCCGCACTAAATAAGAACTTGACACACATGACATTGATCACCACCTAGTGATCAGTCGATTGTGATTACATCTCAGTCCTAAAGGTCAGTAGCGGCCTGGATAGCTCAGTGGTAGCATCTCTGACTGTGAAGTTGGGTGACACGGGGTCAGATCCACCAGGGAACAGCAGTTCCCTCAAGATTACAGTTACACTTCGCTGATGAGTGCCAAGTAGCACGAAACCCGAGTTCAGGGTTTCCTGTCGACTACCTTCAACCACCATCTAATCTCACTACTAATCAGTTTTTATTACAATGACAATTACGTGCATAGTAACTCGTCTCCTGTTAAGTTCAACATGATCAATCGTTCTCACAGTCCCTTTGTGAATATAAACGCTGAAACAAACTAGTAGCCAGATATAATTACCATCTGAGTTAAACCGTAATAGAGTATATCTGAAAAAATATTGTTAGATTACATAAAAATAAAACATTTTGTTATAACTTGTGCCCTGTGTCCTATTAACGTTTACCGTAATGATACCTCCATTTAGAAAACAATGATTTATCTATCGGATCAATGATGTAGATAACCAGTACGACCAATGTAGAACCTTTATCAGTCCTTCTTTCTAACCCAGCCCTCCCTGCCTGTTCTAATCCAGATCACCAATCTCAGCTTCTTCAATATGAATGATTATATTTCAACCATACTGAGTTTACATACCAACCAGACAGACCACATCGTACCAATAAAATAGGAAACAACATTTATACAAGATTTATCCAAATGTGACTGTGAATGTGGGAGACTGTAATAAATAGACTGGGCATAAATCAAGAATAGTAAATCATAAGATAATAGTTCATAGGTCAAAATGAAGCTCATGATAAAAGGAATATGAATATGTGGATAGTATTAGTCTAGAAATAAATTTCAATAGTTATCATTCATTATCCTTATCGAGATATAACACTTTGAATATCACATATCATAAAGTATTGAAGGTGATTGTTGAATATGAAATTTCATAGTGACATTACATTGCTGACTTCAACAAAATGAGTTTTTAGGGGTATTTAGTTAGTAATGAGATGAAAAATATATCTAGATAATTGTTATATCCCGATAAACATAATGAATGGTAACTTTGGGGATCTATTGATGGATCAATACTAAACGTAAATTTTTATTGTATAATTGTTATGTAACTAAATTGTTCATATTCATGTCCCTCTTATTATGAGCTTCATTTTGATCCATAAACTATTATTATACGATTTACTATTCTTGAGTTATGCCCAGTCTATTTATTACAGTCTCCCACATTCACAGTCACATTTGGCTAGTACATGTACAAATGTTGTTTCCTATTTTATTGCTACGATGTGATCTGTTTAGCTGGTGTATATAAACCAAGTCTGTTTGAGAGAAAAAAAGATCCATATTGCAGAGACTGAGATTGGTGTTCTGGACTTAACTGGCTGGGTTATGCACAAATCAGGGCTGTAGACTACTACTGTAGACTACTCGCACATGTTTTACGCATCATTGATCCGATCAATCAGTCACTGTACATTAATCGACGATTGCAAGTTATACCAATAATATCACAAATTGATAGAAGTTGAAAATATTAAACATTAAACATTCAAATGAGGATTAAACGCTCTCAGAGATACTTAAAATGTTTTGAGTTTCATTCCTAAAGTGTACAGTTTCGCATCAGTACTGCTAAGAAATTTTATATTAAGATGAGACAATTGTTTAATGTTTCCTATTTAACTAAGATAATTCACTGATGCAAAAACTTCAAATATTATAGGGTATAAAATTGGTCATTGATTGGCATAAGTGAATAAGCCCTGAATTAATGTTCCTCAGTTGTATTCATCCATGTTCAAACATAAATTCGAATCTTTAATCTCCAGATTTCGTATTAAGCGATCGATAGTTGGCATTTCAAACATTTACAACTCCCATTCTATTTAACCACGTAATCTTTGTTCTGGCTAGCGTTTATTTAGCGAGTAATCTTTGTACGGAATGAGGTCGCTAACCCCATGCCCGACCCTCCTCATTTATCTGGGCTTGGGACCGGTAGTAACTCCAGAAGGGCTACAGTACGAACGCTAAAACAGTTCTACTATACGAATCTGAATTTTGAAGAACTACTACAACTACTATCAAAAAAGGTACAAGTATTTATAAATAGTTGTTTTCGAAAGATACTCAACATGCATTGGTCGGATACCATGAGCGACAGCCTACTGTGGGAGAGAACAAACTAGCTTCCAGCCGAGAAAGAAATTAGGAAAAGATAATGGAAATGGATAGGACATACATTACACAAATCATCAAACTGCATTACGAGACAAGCCCTAACTTGGAATCGTGAATGGAAGCGAAAAAGAGGAAGGTCAAAGAACACATTACGCCGAGAAGAGGAAGCAGACATGCAAAGGATCAACAGTAAGTGGAAAGAGTTGGAAGGTCATGTCCAGGACAAGGTTGGATGGAGATTGGTAGTTTTAGGCCTATGCTCCTCCACGAGGAGCAACAGGCGTAAGTAAGTAATCAGATCAATAAACTAAACAATCTGTGTTCTATTTTAACTTTTCACCCTATTAACTTATCTCATTATTACTTTTTTTTATTTTCATTACAGTTGGTGGCCACTTGCTGTTACAATATGTGCCGCTTTCTTGGTACTCATTATAATCTTCATCTGTTCATGTTGTTACGGTCTCTTTAGTTGTATAACTGATATTTTATGCTGTTTTTGTAAACGTTAGAATAAAAGTAGTCAACATTTATCGAGTTACTTTTTTCTCTATTACTTTACTTCATTACCTAATTCTATGTATGTATGTATGTATGTATGTATGTATGTATGTATGTATGTATGTATGTGTATGTATCTGTGTATGTGCTTCATGGAGTCATTGATTGTTGAGATTTCCTTTTTTTTCAAAACAAAATTTTATTATGTTTTAATTGTATGTTCTCATTTATTTGCTTAATGGAACACATAAAATGTGAATGTTTATCTGTACAATTATTGAATTGAGTTTTTTTTATATGAACTATTAAATAAATTTTGTCATTGAAAATAACTCCAGTGTTTTATTGGGAATCAGAAGCTAGATCATCATGGAAAACCTGGAAGTATTGAATGGTCGTTTCGTCCTACTGTGGAATTCATCAGATAGTGCGCTTCCACGATCCTGTCCCATGGGATTTGAACCTAAAGCCTATATAAATGAGTCTATTTCTAGATCAATGTTTAACTCACTATCCTACAGACTAGTTTTGGAATTGCTGGATGCAAATGTACAGTATTGTTAGTTAGTTTTGTAATAAACACAATAGTTTGTTTCAATCCAACAACTTAATGAAATAACCTTCAGATTACAATATTTTTGTACAAACGTTTAACTACTTGTAAGTAGTTTGACTTTTTGTTAAAAATTAAGTAGATGCTGAGTGATTATGGAAATGTGGTTGAATTGGTTGTAGCTAGCCAATAACTTTTCACTGCGTGCGCAATTCTAAGAAATTTCATACTAATAAGAATAGGATACCTAGCCTTTCAATGGTTATCCAGCTAGAGTGATTATCTTGTGCTGAATTTCATATAAATTATATGCTTATTTTCTTTACTGAATTAAGGCGTATGCGTAGTTGAATAGACAGTGTAATGTACTTATCATCTTCAAATAATTTCAACAAACCTTAGCAACTGAACACATTATTATTGACAGTGAAATTCAGGAAAATACTGAACTGTAACTATAGTTTTAAGTCCATGGTTATTGTATTAAAATTCTCGAAATAAAGGATGAGTATACTATGAGATTACAACTTCAATGTTATACACGCGGGAATTTAAAATGTCTGGTAAATTGATAGAAATTGAATAAGTAGAGTACATAATTTATAAAATGAAAGGATTTTGTAGTTAATTCTAATTTTTTTTCATGTTGATGAAGGTAGTTTCATGTATTGTGGGAGAGAAGAAACCAACTTCCAGATAATGAGAAAATTAGGAAACGACGTTGGAAGTGGATAGAATATACATGATGAAATGCTAAACGGGAACAGAAAAGAGGAAGGCCAAATAACAATCTGGGTCTAGGATCGAAAGCCGATATGAAAACAATGAATAATAAGTGGAAAGGATTTCCCAGTACATGCTTGAATGGAGAATGTTGGTGTGCAGCCAATGCTCATTCATGAGGGGTAACAGGCGTAAGTAAGTAGTTTCATGTGTGCACTTGTTACTGTAAACCAGACTAAACCGATTACTTCTGTATATAGAAGCAACCAGGGTTCCGTTCAGTCGTTTAATCACTATACAATGATTCATAATCTCGAATTGGTTGGTATAATCTCATGCAATGAAATATTTTCCTTTAAATAACTCTTTGTTTTCACGATCTTACAACAGTTCATATGTATTTTATGAAAATAAACAATTATAATTAGAATGGGGTTTGTGGAGATCTTGATAATTTTAGTAGGAGTCCTATACCAGGACGAAAAGGCCATCCACTGCTTCCAGGTTTTCAATGGTGGTCAAGCTTACATCGACTCGTCAATTCAACTATTAAAATGAAGACAATCTCCATAAACCTCGTTCTGATCATAATCATCATGTGCTCACTAATGACTGGCTACAAGATTATTTCCCTGAGTTTTAGTGCGGAGCCGTGGCCAATGGAATCCAATCCATGTAGAACGAAAATAATTGTCTACCTCAAACAATGGATGAAGGGTTTCACAAGATCATGGATTGATTGAAGTTAGTCATTAACACCATTGGATGCAGGCTCAGTGATCTAGGAGTTAAACGTTCGCGCACTTGTACGAAGGTCCTGTGTACGAGAAATCAAAAGAGGAATCATTAAAAATGTGGGAACACCGAAGGAATGTCTTACACTAATCAGGAATGAAAGAGATACCCACCAATAGGATTAGATGATATCGTACTGTATCATGAATTAATTGACTTTGGAAGTATAAACCACTGAATATGACTTCAGTGGTTTAAAAATTAACGCCTGAGTGACAGTTTTGTCAACATATACAGATATCAATAAACCTGAATCAAAATTATCAGTATACGCTTACCAGAATAGAGTAGGTAGGTGATTCCGGGTTGATGTCCTAATCTCTACGAGATGTAACAAGCATAACTAAGTAATCAATATCCACTCCTATACTTAAGCAACAGAACAATATGAGCCATTAATAGGTAGTACCTAAAAAGTGATAATGTGGTACGTGCTACTTATATTGATATAAGTAGTATATGAAGCGAGTTAAAGAATGTAATGTCTGGCAGCAGAAGATAGGGAAAGATCAACAATGGAAGAGCGGGAACGCAATGCAATTTGTAAGAAAACGCATGAACCATGAAATGTGAGACAATGGATCGATAACTACAACAGTAACGGTCCAGTTTGATATGATGGAATGTTATTTTGCAGATTAACGATTTACTATATGGTTTTTCTATTTTACTAAGTAACTCTGTCATTGCGTACTAACGACGCCAATGTGACATTGTGAGTGTTTACCTACTTAATATGGCTAAATGACGCCTATAAACCTGTGTGAAGAATAAGGATTGTGATATAGAATTGACGATTCGGGTTAGAAATTAGACTTAGGGTTTTCATCATGAATTGACATTGACTAAAGTTCCATGAGGCTATTTAAACAAATGGAAGAAAGAATTTTGTGCCAAACTCCAAGATCCATCATCTTATACCTGATTAGTTCGTTCATAAATGATAGTCTCACCATTTTTGTATCAAATTACTTGAATTCTAGAATAGACAATAAATACTATTGAGTATTCATACTTTTACCATAGATGGATTCATTAATTGTCTTTAACTAGATCTTCAGTTTCATAATTATCTTATACTATTTTTACTGAATAAATTCATTGTTTCTTTTGTTATCATACTGTCATTTCAATTACTACTGATACTGTCATGGTTTGTACTACTGATATCAATAAATATAAGTAGTATGTATAATCAGTCGAAAGTCGAAAGTTTGGAGACAAGAAGATTAATAAAATCAAAGAAAAGAGAATGATTAGTGTAGAAACGAACTGACCCACATATGTTCCAGATTGTACGTTTCAAATGACTAACTGACCGACTGACTGATTGACATTTATCTTACAGTACACGTTTATATCACATTGAATTGCAAGAGTATTAAGACATTAATACATGGCTAATGAATGTAGAATACATACATATTATTCTATAGAAGTCTTCTAATCATGTTACCACTTTGAATCTAAATAGCAAGTAAAGAAACGTTCAGGTGATCAACAGTCTTAAATGTTGATTTTATAAGTCAATCATATTTTTTCTAATTACATGTTATATGGAAAACTAAAACAATGTATTGAATACACTTGCCTACCTACTCAGGCCTGTTACCCCTCGTGAAAAAGCATAGGCCACCCACCACCACTCACCATCCAATCCTGACTTGGATAATCCTTTCAAGTTCTTTCTAGTTGTTATTCGTCCGATTCTCGTCGCAGTGTGTTCTCTAGCCTCCCTCTTTACCACTTCCCTTCACGATTCCAAGTAAGTGCTTGCCTCGTAAGGCAGTTTGGTGATTTTTATAATGTATGTTCTATCCAATTCCTCGATTTTCTCTTCATCTAGAAGCTGGTTTGTTTTCTCTTACACACTTTCACAATACTGCTCGTATTGTATTAGTCCTATTATTGCGTTTACTATGAACCTACTTCTGACTACTTTCAATTACACAGAATAGATTATGCTATATTTGAGACTGTAGGATAAAAGATGTATATATTCCACCTTATTTGAAACTCGTCAGATGGATGAATTAACATCCTGGTGTTAATATTCACACAATAACTCAAATCAATTATCTAACAATCTAGATCCCAAGATGTTTTCCTTTATGTTCCAGTGATCACTAACTTGTTTAATGAGTATGATTATTGCTATTATTGTTATTTTTTATTGTTGATATATTCCACTTGATGTTATTGAGGATGGGAATTTGACCAATCTCTGTTGAATGTATGCCCTGATATTGCTCTGCAATTACAAGTATCATTGTGAACATGAATATACCCAATATAGAATTGAATTCTTGGATGTATATCAAGTGTAGAATAAACTTGGCTCTATAAATACTGACAATTATAGTCATGATCTTGTCAAAGTTTAATGACTACAAAGAAATATGACCCATGAATTCAATCATTAAATTGCTACAATCTCCACAAAACTCCTGTCTGATTATAGTCATCATATGATCACTAGTGACTGGTTTCAAGAGGTATTTCGTGAAGTTCTAGTGAGAAACCATGACTAGTGTAATTCAACCGAGTCTGTTGTGAGATAGTAACTCACTTAAGACAATGGTAGACGGTGGCGCGATTTCGTGGATTGGTTGAGGTTAGACACTAACATTGTTGTCTGCCTGCTCATTGATCTAGAGATTAAGTGTCCGCACGCGAGACCGTTACGCCCTAGGTTCAAATCTCGTGGTACGGGATTGTGGATGCACACTATTGAGGAGTCTCATACTAGGATGAAATAGCCGCTCAGTGCTTCCAAGTTTTTCATGATGGTTTAGCCTCAAATGTCTTATGAATTCACTTATTAAATATTCACTGCATATATTATTTAAGTAATAATTTGACTGATTATTTCTTTAACAAATACATACCAGTCAATCGGTCAGTTAGTTCCGTTGGCTGATTAACCCAGTTTAATTTCATTTATTGTTACATCACATTACACCTGCTACATCCCTTCGAGAATAGGTTCCCTACCAAGATTCTCAAACCAATATCGTCTTGGGCTCTCA